CTGCATTCCATGCATCTTGTGTAGAAGTTGTGATCATAGTCTTCTCACATCACTGTTAATTTTTCTTTATATTTTGACATGTATTTTCAAACACTTATACAGAAATGTGATGGTCATGGTAGAGGGATTTGTATGACCTTGAAGGAAGGGCAGTAATTAACTGTCAAATGAATGTCAGTAATATGTATGCTATTGTACAAAGGGATCTTGGCGCTGAAGTGAACGTGACTTCCTTATATAGGCTATTATTATCGTCATAGTTTTTGTACAGTGCCATCCTCATGTAGATATTCTTTCATGGAAGTAAGACACTGCATTTGGGTAGGTTTTTACGGAGATATTTATTCAGAGCATGGTTGTAATCAAATTGGCAGCAGTTCTGAGCCAGATCAACCTGCAGACATTACACTTGCTGCACTTTGTGGTCTTCTGGATATATTGAAAACATTGGTTAAAACCAGAGGCGTTATCAGAAATGGTTGTGTGCACAAACAGATGCTGTTTGATTTGCAAGTTAAACATTATATAAGAAAACATACAAACACAAAAAAACACAGAAACCATCTGATTTTTTGTATATGAGCCAGCTTTAATTTTGATAACACTTGATTACCCAGCTTTTTTCCAAGGAAAATTTTGAAACATTTACACGCTATACTTTTGCACCTTTATTCACTCTGCACTTTCATCACTGCACTACTGGATCAGTGAATCTCTTATACGTTCCCTCTGCTAAATGGTTGTGACTGTTGAAACAAATATGGTATTGATTTAGGTGAATGATTTACCCAACCCCTGATGATGTCTTGTTCATTGTTTGAATAATAACAGCTTATCTGTAAACAACTTTAAATGTCACATGATGAGATGGGTCTCATGGAGACGAACCAGTACTGATAATATACTTCTAGTATACTCGAAAAAACATGTTGTAGATATATATCTTGGTTAATTGTTATGGTATTCAATTGAATCTTTGTATTGCTTTACATGATACCATCAGTATGGTCTTGTGCCAAGATTTATAGGTCATCTCTGATGAGTCATCACTTCCATCAAGAATAGTCTTTATCTAATGCTTGAACAGATTTTCACTATTTCATGTTCTAAAACTATTTCCTTCGGTCTTGAAAATTAATAAAAATATATATGGTAATTTTTCATGAATAAATTCTAGTTACATTTCTTGATGAACCCTCCCTTTCATGTATTACTTTTAATGCATTTGTGTCTATGACGTGACAATGGCAAGGGGTGATCAATGCACATACTCAGTCTGCAATAGATATCCAGCTATGAGATTGTTGTAATTATGATGACCAGGTGTTAGCTGTTACCTGTGTCATCGTTGTCTTTGTCTAGGACAGCTAATCATACTTTCAACTACTGGTTGTCAAGGCCAAAATTGTATTATTTACAAGTTGCATTATCTGCATGAATGTTGCTGACAGTTGTGTAAAACAAAACTTACAAAAAACATTGTATCCTGCTTTCGATGGTGAAGATGGCCAAAAACAGGATATTCATTTCAGTCAGTGATCAGTCATCACCGACATGTTAAACCAGCTTCAGTTGACATGTTGAAAGGGTGGCCCTGTGATCTGACGAGCTGTAGTTGTGCGTGTAGATTACAATCATGCCGATGCCAAAATCCTGTGACTGTTGGTTCGGATAATGGTTCCCACTGATTGTTTCTAGGTTCGGCAGCACCATAGCTGTGCAGGCGGGTTTTGCCAAAATGGTAAATGTCTGGGATTTGCATTAATTCAGGCTTTCCTGCCACAGTAAGCCGATGGCTGTGTAAAAACCAACTCGCTCACTTGTTAAAGCATTCCCTACAGTGTATAAGAGGTAGATTAGAGTAGGCCTCATCATATTTGTATAGATAGTTCTGTTTCTAAAACCATTGTTGCATTTTTCAGCATTGATTATGCAATGGCTGTATGCAGATCTGTTGGATGTATTTTGTACAACGCTTACACTTTTTTAATAAACAGCTGTTTTTACTTCCTGCATCTGTTGTTGTCTGTTGACCAGTCCAGATTTCTTTGTTGTTTACGCCACACACAGCAATATTCCAGCTATATGGCAGCGGTCTGTAAATAATCAAGAGTGTCAGTGGACCAGACAATCCAGTGACCCAACAGCATGAGCATCTATCTATGCAGCTGGGATACAATGACATGTATCAACCATGTCAGTGAGCCTGACCACCTCATCCTCTTAGTTGCCTCTCAGGACAAGCATCACAGTAACATTACTGCCTGGTAACACATTGATCATTAGACATCATTGATCATCAAAACGTACTTGTGAAAAACATATCCAGGTATGGTAACTACTAGTGTTGAGAATTGGTTAAAATCTCATAATTGATGATTGATTCATTACAACCGATCAATCATCGAAAATAATTGGTTAGCTTCATTTATGAAATTTGTTAATGCACAGAAAAATAAGGGGAAAAACATGTGGTTCTTTGGAGTTTTGGGGGGGGCAAAATTTCACATCTTTAAAGGATGACTAGTATGTTAGGAACATAAATTTCTTAGAGTCTTTAAGATAACTTCAATCATGACTTGGAACGAGCTTGTAGTGCTTATGAAATGTAACAGACAAAACCAACCTAGTGAAAAATACTGTTAATGAAAACGTGTTCCAGAATTGTTTGTGTTCGATTATGAGAAAACAGGATCGATTGCTTGGTCGTTTAGTCAATCTTCGATTATTTCAATCAATCGGACCACCACTAGTAACTACTGCTATTGAGGTCATAAATAATGACCAACATGTCGCAGGGCTACACCGACATGGATGCATGGAAGTCAACGAGATTAACCATCCAATGTATTCGTGGTCTCTTCAGATAGACATAGGTTACCATGGTCAGTGGGGACCTTTTCTTATCAGGAATCACATGTCACACTGTGAGTGTAGTGATTTGATCGGTTCACATGATCCTAAGAAAAGTACATGTATCCCACGTGGGAGTGAAATAAGTTTCTGTGAGGAAGAATAAATCACTTGTACCTTGTCACAGAGAAAATAGGCTGCAGATATACTGGCTGGTGAACAGTTATCACCAATACATCAACATCACACCTGCGCAATTCCGGTCAATTACACTTCAGGTATTTTTTTCCATGGTTTTTGACAACAATAAAGGACAGCAAAAGAAAATTCTTCACGGTAAGTAACATAAGAGACAAATTAGAGATAGTTATGAAAACTATAAAAAAAATTGTAACTTAGTTGGGGGGGGGGGATGTCACACATTCTATATAATAGCAAGTTCAAGTTCACAACAGCCATGAATTGCTTCATTTCCAATGAATCTACTGTAAAAGACACATTCAAATAGTCACACAATCAATTATTCGAGATTACTGTATGATATAAATATATATTATTTCACGTATGGCATGAGAAATTCCAAAATGGCGATAACCGTTACAGTTAGTTGTGACAAAACATCTATTTGTACTGCCATGATTCCCTTCTGCTGTGTTCTATAAAAACATGATCGGCGGCAGTGAACGGGCTGGACACATCGGTGAATAGCAAATTAAGTGAGCGAGTGAGGTTAGTTTTACGCTGCACTCGGCAATATTCCAGCTATATGGCGGTCTGTAAATAATCAAGTCTGGACGAGACAATCCAGTGATCAACAGCATGAGCATCGATCTGCACAATAGCTAATTAAGTATCATAATTAATTTTGTTTCATTAATTTAACAAACGGCGGAGTAATTTTGTAAATACCGCTAAAATATGGCGATAACTGTTCGGCAGTCAATATTCCTGAGCAAGACAACATAATCCTATATGGAGAAAAGAAAAGTAGGTGATAGGATAGATAGTGAAAGGTGGGAAGAAGGGTCATATATATTATGTAAAAGTTATTGATAACTTAACATAGTGTTAAAAATAATAACTTCATAATACTTGAAAGTATATATCACGATGAGCTAAATATAACTTCAAGGGAGAATCTTACTTGGTGTATTTGATGCAAGGTGATATTATTCATACTGCTTACCTATATCTCCAACTAAATTCAGCTTTGGTCATAGGCTTGCATGGTTCGATAATATCTTTAAAATGTTTTTTAACTGGCTTGTCAAGACAGTTTTTTCGTTTTGACACATTTAGGACAAACCCCTACATGTACTGTCATACGTCCAAAACATGCAAGAGTTTCATAAATGCACATACACATATTTTCTATAACTGTAAAAACAACTTATAAATATCTAGATCGAGCTTACTTCTGTAATTATGTTGATACAACTGTAAAAGCAATACTCGCTATAAGTCGTCCTAGTAGACCCGTGCAAAAAGTATTCAGACGCTTGACGTAATGTCCATGCATAGACTTACATGTTATTTCAGTGTAGCATAAATAATTTTCATGAAGTGAGTTTAGAATGGATCTTTGTAAAATATGACAGGCAAATTTGAAATCATCTCTGATCTGCGCACATAATTTCAGTTCAATTTTCCGACCACTAATGACATCACATTTATCAACTTACGTATGGTTCCACAACGCAGAACCCCATAGGCCGCCATGTTAAAGGAGTTCACGGCACTGTACACATGTTGATTAAACTGTTGCCACTCGATAAATAAGCAATGGAAAATTAAACAGAAATTATGTGATTGTAGGTAAGATGATTCATCACAAATGTGCAAAATTTGACTTGGATCTTACGAAAATTTAATTCAAGAAAAATATTTATGCTACACTAAATTAACATGTAAGTCTATGGAAATTACGTCGAGAGTACTGCACTTTACCGGGCGCACTTTTCAGATTTATTAGCGCTTCTGGGGTTCCCTAACCCTAAGGATCGTAAAGGGTGCCTAACTCTAAGGATTGTAAAGGAAGCAGCGAAGGCTGTGCCCGGTAAAGTGCATTCTAGCCGGGGTTTGAATAAAGAGTTGCAATCAAAACAAGCTTTCAACGGAATCAAACAGCGCATCGACTTACTACATAATTCATCAACGTTTACATTTCCCGCCTAACCAGCCCTGCAGCCATGGCGAGCACCGACTCAGCGCGTGTAGGGAAGGAAGAACTGCTGGCCAAGCTGGTGGAGATGGGACTTGACTGTGATACACATGAACACCCTGAGGTACAAGGATAAGTAGAAAGTGAATTTTCTGTCCTTAAACGTACTCTAGTGCACACTCGGTTGTATAGAAGACAAACAGTGCGTGTCTGATTCAACTACCTGCTGACGAGAAAATGCAGTTATACAACGGATTGTTAAAATGGATATTCCTCATATTCTACAAGCACCATATAGTAGAAAGTGTAAACAGAATAAAAGAACCTGGTTATGCGCTAATGACGAATGTGAACTCTTTCTGTTGAAACACGCTGGAAGGTGTGGTCAACATAAGGGAGATAATTCGATATTACTCGAGTCTATTTGAACAGTACTTTCATGCAGGTTTGTCAACTTGGTTCAAAACCGCATGAAAACATTTTGATTTTTGTGCCATCTGCACTCCTATTCAATATAGTTACTATTCAGTTTATTTCTTTCACCAGCCTCCTTGATACACTTTAGGAGATAATCCCAATTTTGTGCAGTTCAATAGTTATATGGCTGCATAAAATTATATATTCGAAATATATTTAATATTTTTCTTACACACATTTTCTTTGTTTTGTTTTTTTGGAAAGGATAAGGAATTATGAGTATTTTTAGCAATACTTTTACAGAATTATGGGCTCAAACCTCACTACAGAAAAATATCCATGTTTGCTAACTTACAATATTTGCTAAGACATGATGCATTCAGTTTTAAATGACATTTTGTAGTGTTTGATCAACAATGAACCACCTGAAAATGGAAAATAAATGAATAGATTTATCTCCATTTAACCAGGACTGATGCAAGTTAAAAAAGCCTTCCTTCATACATATTCCATTCAGTGATGTGGTCAGTAGTTACAATTCATTAAACTTGAAAAATTAAGTAAAATTAAATTACATCAATGTCATAGTAAAGTGAAAGTTGAACATATATTGTTGGACAAAATATTTCTCTTTGAAACAGATCACTGGTAACTGTCTGTTGGTGATCAGTTTCTCACAAAATGTGCAATGTGTTTAATGTTTGTTGTAGGTATTTACTGTAGAGCAGGCAATTCCTCATGTGTCACATCTAGAGGGAATGTTTGCCAAGAACCTGTTTCTCAGAGACAAGAAAAAGAAACTGTATTTATTCTGTGCCGCTCATGATGCTGACATCAAATTAAATGACTTGGCTAAAGCAGTAAAAGGCTCCAGGAGGGCTACGGTTCGCGGACGAGAGCATCCTGTCTGACAAGCTTGGACTGCAGCAGGGAAGTGTCACTATATTTGGTCTGATCAATGATAAAGTCAAGGATGTGCAGCTGCTCATGGACTCACGTTTTATAGGGGACACTTACACCAGGCTCTATTTCCATCCAATGACCAATGCAGCAAGCACTGGTATCTCACCTTCAGATCTCAGCAAGTTCCTTGAAGCAGTGGACCACAAGCCTACCCTGGTGGACATTGGTGCCATACAGGCAGCAGACTAGTAGTGGTGGTCCGATTAATTGAAATACATGTAATCGAAGATTGGTCATAGTGACTAAACGACCAAGCAATCGATCATAATGTCTCATAATCGAACACAAACAATTCTGGAACACTTGTTTTCATTAACAATATTTTTCACATGGTTGGTTTTGTCTGTTACATTTCGTAAGCACTACAAGCTCGTTTCAAGTCATGATTGAATTTATCTTAAAGATTCCAAGAAATTTATGTTCCTAACATACTAGTCATCCTTTAAAGATGTGAAACTTTGCCAAAAAAAACCCAGAAGAACTACATTCCCCCCCCCTTTATTTTAATGTGCATTAACAAATTTCATAAATGACGCTAACCAATTATTTTCGATGATTGATCGGTAGTAATGAACCAATTCCCATCACTACAGACTAGGAGAGTGAGTCACAACTTCATCTTCACTGGTTGTACATCAAAACTCAATGAACTGTTCCACTTTCTAAAAATGACTTCTCCAATATATAAAACCAGCCAAGAACCATTACTTGTTAGTCTATATACATGTATTTGTCTGGGAAGATAGGATGCACTTAATACACAATTCAAACACAAAACTTGCTTCAGTATGTATCACGGTGGCACAGATTCTCAATCTCATTCATCCAATTATCTATAGATTTATGTATCCACCTGTCTCAAATAGTTGCTATGATCATTATGTACTGGTTGAAAATTAATAACCTTGTTGTACCTTTTTTACCTCATTGTAGAAGACCGGACCTGTGTCATAAACAGTTGGCTGACTTGTTCATCAATGGCCAACATGTTCTCAGGTAGCACATGGAAATCCTGTAATTTGATCTGTACATGTCAGCCTGAAAGACTGCCTCAAACTTTGGGACCATGAATGAAGATATTTTTCCATGTATTTACACCAAGACATGATCATGATGTTGGACATGACTTTTGATTTTAATGTTGAATCAGATCAAGAGACTTAAAGCATAATATTCATCAGATCATATATTCCTAATGTGATGTTTGGATACTGTTGAGACTTGTTGCATAGTTCTGTATGATTGGTCAATGATGGTAAGATTCACTCAGAGCAATATCGCTACATATCAGGTCCACTATACATGTCAGCTGAACATTTTGTGATAGTTTAAAAAATATACCTTATACAAATGTGATTATGATATATGGAGAAAACCCTAGAAATATTGCACAATAAATCATAAAAACTTGCATGGTTACGGTTTATTCTGTACAGTTTATGATAATGAAAATATGTACATTTCAAGGGCTTGGTACATAACAAGATGGACAGAAAAGATGACAGAGAGATGATAGCATGCAGCTGTGTACAGATAATTAGATATGTACAAGGTAGATACACAGCAGTCTACATCTTTTAACAAAGTGATGATTACTGATTAGTCAGTCCAAGCAGGTTTGTTCAGCAGGAAGGTGCATGGATCTTGTACGGTTCAGGCTAATCGCTTGTTTCTCTAAACAAGGTAGTCTTGGGATATGGACTGAAGGGTAAATATCTATACTAGGTGTAAACACACAAAATCCTTGGAGAGGAGAGAGCTGGTGAGAAGGTTCCATATGAAAGATTAAGATTATCTCTTCCAAGCGATACAGTCTCAGGAATTGGATTAGCTTATGTAGAATAATCGGTTTTCATCCTGGCAACATGCAAGTAGCATAATGTTTTGCAGCCAATCCCACATGTATACTCACCTACATACTTGTCTATTTACTGTGAATTCTGGAACATGTTTCCATAGTAACACAGGCATGTCAGTTCAGGAACATGTCTCTCCTGTTTCATAAAGAAGTTATAGCCATGGAAATATTGGTATCAGTGTCCTAAAGTAATTTTTCTTTCTGATTTACATATATTCACTTGCATTCTGGAGACAAGTCATTATTGCAGATATAGATAATCCATATGTTTAGAGTGTGTGTGTTGTTTCCATGGAGATACATACACAGGTGTTTTAATGTAGTGGCACACCGTTTCCATGATGATACATCCATCTTTGCTGTAGAGCACTAGTACACTTTCCATGAGCATATGTCCATCTTTGTTGTATAGTACAGGTGCACTGTTTCCATGACGATACATCCATCTTTGTTGTAGAGCACTAGTACACTTTCCATGAGCATATGTCCATCAGTGTTGTATAGTACTGGTACACTGTTTCCATGGCGATACATCCATCTTTGTTGTAGAGCACTAGTACACTTTCCATGAGCATATGTCCATCAGTGTCGTCTAGTACTGGTACACTGTTTCCATGATGATACATCCATCTTTGTTGTAGAGTACTAGTACACTTTCCATGAGCATATGTCCATCAGTGTTGTAATAGTACAGTGCACTGTTTCCATGACGATACATCCATCTTTGTTGTAGAGCACTATTACACTTTCCATGAGCATATGTCCAGTGTTGTATAGTACTGGTACACTGTTTCCATGGCGATACATCCATCTTTGTTGTAGAGCACTAGTACACTTTCCATGAGCATATGTCCATCAGTGTTGTATAGTACTGGTACACTGTTTCCATGGCGATACATCCATCTTTGTTGTAGAGCACTAGTACACTTTCCATGAGCATATGTCCATCAGTGTTGCAGAGTACTGGTACACTGTTTCCATGGAGATACATAAGCCTGTTTTGGAATTCTGATTTCAAGAGAGACAAATGTACCTGTGCTCTAGAGTACTTGGTGATAACTGTACCTGTGACTTAATGACTTGTACCTGGAGAGCATATATAGCACGATGTGGCTGCATCAAGGTACATGTCAATACTCAGCCAACTGGTTTTATAATCACTATTTCAAGTTTTCACCCATGTTAGAGGTGATGTTGAGCGCCACCTGGTTGTACTTGGTAACAAGATTTTCCATGAAGTAGTCCTCCAGCTCACACCGAATGGCAGCCAGGTCCGGCAACTCGTCACAGCTGGGGATGTTGAGCAGTCGATGGAACACGCTCTTCCACAGACTAACATTCCACTTCCTGGTGAGAGATGAGACAACAGATTCAAACAGCATCATCAAGCAAGCGATAGAATCAACACCAACATATTGCAACAATTGTAGTCATTAGTTACTAGTCAAGTTTTTAAATGACATTCCAAGACCTACATATGTTAGGCAATAAGATTAGATACATGTTGATATACTCCCACCCACTCACAACACTAGACAACACTGTTATAACCCACCTCTGGAAGCTACTTGTCATGTGCCACACCCCTTGTGACTGGTACACTTTCATGTAGTCACAGAACACCAAGACATGTATTGTACCAATAAGTCCAAACAGGTCCGTCTGAAAAACAACCAACTTTCACAGTCATTTCAAATGGCATTCAAAAGAAACATTTGTTGTTTAACATGATATCCAGCAATATTTCAGCTATATGGTGATACGGTCCAAAGGGACAAAGCAGAGATTGATATTGTAAGCATGATTATGATGTTCATATGATTAAGGTCTCTCGCTTGACCAGCAAAGGTTGTGGGTGACCTTTTCTAACAAGGATGTCCACGGGTAAAATAAGAAACAAGGTGTCTTCTCTGGCATCATTGATCAATTGTCAATATGAAATGAATCAGCCATCTGTAGTGCAGAAATGGATTAATTTAGACAGTAACATTTCGATCTCACCTAACTTGTTATGGTATAGTTCACACAGTATTTAATCCTGTTTTCAGTTGATTTAACTTGCATATATCTGCTAACATTAATTGGTTTGAGTACACAATTTGAACCACAAAGATTCACAATGTCTGTATCTTCTTTCCATTTGTACAATCAGACTAAGGTATCAGACTAAGGTATCATACTCCTGCAAAATTATGCAGATCGCTATTAGAAAAGAGGAGATGTTGACATAAACCACAACATGAGCCACAGTCAATGAACATGAGGAATATACGAGTAGAATTCTGACCTGATACGTCCAGGGCATGTCTGTCCTCATCTCAATACACCGGAAGCCCTCTGTGGCGCACTTTGCCAGGAAGGTGGTGCCAGGGGGGTATCTTGTCATGTCAATGCTGCGTCCAAAGTCGATCAGCTTCAGGGTTTGTGTAGAGCGGCCGAATACTTCTTCCTTTGTAGTCTCACCATATAGGCAGGGGCTGAAGTAGGCAAGAGACATATCATACACTAAACTATCTCACCATATAGGCAGGGGCTGAAGTAAGCAAGAGACATATCATACACTAAACTGTCTCACCATATAGGCAGGGGCTGAAGTAAGCAAGAGACATATCATACACTAAACTGTCTCACCATATAGGCAGGGGCTGAAGTAAGCAAGAGACATATCATACACTAAACTGTCTCACCATATAGGCAGGGGCTGAAGTAAGCAAGAGACATATCATACACTAAACTGTCTCACCATATAGGCAGGGGCTGAAGTAAGCAAGAGACATATCATCACTACACTAAACTATCTCACCATATAGGCAGGGGCTGAAGTAAGCAAGAGACATATCATACACTAAACTGTCTCACCATATAGGCAGGGGCTGAAGTAAGCAAGAGACATATCATACACTAAACTGTCTCACCATATAGGCAGGGGCTGAAGTAAGCAAGAGACATATCATACACTAAACTGTCTCACCATACAGACTGGCTGAAGTAAGCAAGAGACATATCATACACTAAACTGTCTCACCATATAGGCAGGGGCTGAAGTAAGCAAGAGACATATCATACACTAAACTGTCTCACCATATAGGCAGGGGCTGAAGTAAGCAAGAGACATATCATACACTAAACTGTCTCACCATATAGGCAGGGGCTGAAGTAAGCAAGAGACATATCATACACTAAACTGTCTCACCATACAGACCTTGGGCTGATCCAAGCAAGAGACAAATCATACACTAAACTGTCTCACCATATAGGCAGGGGCTGAAGTAAGCAAGAGACATATCATACACTAAACTGTCTCACCATACAGACCTGGTTTGATCCAACACAAGACAAATGCCTACACTAAACTATCTCACCAAATAGGCAGGGCCTGAAACAAGCACAAGGCATATGCCTACACTAAACTATCTCACCATACAGACCTAGTTTGATCCAACACAAGACAAATGCCTACACTAAACTATCTCACCAAATAGGCAGGGCCTGAAACAAGCACAAGGCATATGCCTACACTAAACTATCTCACAATGTCTCAAATAGGCCGAGGCCTCAGCAAGCACAGACCTAGTTTGATCCAACGCAACACAAATGCCTACACTAAACTATCTCACCAAATAGGCAGGGCCAGAAGCAAGCACAAGGCATATGCCTACACTAAGCTGTCTCACCAAATAGGCAGAGGCTGAAGCAAGCATAAGGCATATGCCTACACTAAGCTGTCTCACCAAATAGGCAGAGGCTGAAGCAAGCACAAGGCATATGCCTACACTAAACTGTCTCACCAAATAGGCAGAGGCTGAAGCAAGCACAAGGCATATACCTACACTAAGCTGTTTCACCAAATAGGCAGAGGCTGAAGCAAGCACAAGGCATATACCTACACTAAATTGTCTCACCAAATATACCTACACTAGGTCTCACCAAAGAGGCAGAGGCTGAAGCAAGCACAAGGCATATACCTACACTAAGCTGTCTCACCAAATAGGCAGAGGCTGAAGCAAGCACAAGGCATATGCCTACACTAAACTGTCTCACCAAATAGGCAGGGCCAGAAGCAAGCACAAGGCATATACCTACACTAAGCCTTCTCACCAAACAGGCAGAGGCTGAAGCAAGCACAAGGCATATGCCTACACTAAACTGTCTCACTTTACAGGCAGGGCTGGATCCAGCACTACATACCTGGCCTAAACTCAGTGAGAGTGGTTTTATGCTGCTTTTAGCAATATTCAAGCAACATGACAACAGGAGACGCCAAATGTGAGCTTCACACATTGTCGCTTGGGGGAAACGAATATCAGGGGGTGATGGCGTAGCCTAGTGGTTAAAACGCTTGCTCATCATGCCGAAGACCCAGGTTCAATTCTCCGCATGGGTACAATGTGTGAAGCCCTTTCTGGTGTCCCCCACCGTGATATTGCTGGAATATTGCTAAAAGCGGCGTAAAGGTAAACTCACTCACTCTTATATCAGGCGATTATTTCTGTGTTTATTTACATAAAATGGCAGTATGTCGCCAATCTATGTCTTACATGTTTCTGATTAGGAAGTTGTCTGGTTTGATGTCTCCATGAATGATGTTACACTTGTGCAGCTTCTCTACCATGTGCATCATCTCAATCGTCATGAACATCACAAGTGGCTCCATATCATTGCGCAGTGTCGATTGTACGCGGACATAGTTCACCAGGGACTAAAAAGAACACAAAACCAAGCTATGTATTACTACTTCAACTACAACATAGGAATGGTCACAGATATCTAGGAGGTGAGGTGAAATTGGGTTTAACGTCGTGCTTGAGAATATTTCGCTCATATGACGACGTGCATGCATGTGTATGTGTAGGTGCGGCTGCTTGTACTAGCCCAGACTTAAGCTTGTTTTATAGTGCTAGCCCACTGAGATACCATGCTGCAGTGAAGCATGAATACCCCACTCAGACACATTATACTGACTCCGAGCCGACCAGTCCTTGTTGTACCCATTAATGCCAAACGCCAGGCAGGAACCAACAAGTACCATATTTTAACGTCTTTTGGTATGATGCGGTCGGGGATCGAACCCGCGACCTTCCGCTCTCTCTGGGCGGACGCTCTAACCACTACACCACGGAGGCGGTCACAGATATCTAGGAACATGTCAGTTCAGAAATGTATCTTTAAACATAAGCATTGACTAACTAGGGCTGGGATGATTCACCGATGCATTGCGATACATTTAAGTTTGATACAGCTATCGTATCGTCGACTGGTGTATCGAAACAAAACGATACACAACTTGTTTTCAAAACAGTATTATCTTAAACATGTTACAGTAATTATTTAGAGAAAGATACGCAAGTATGATGGAGTTACTTGTTTGTTTATTACAAAAGTATTATTGTTAAACACAAATACCTTGAAATAATCATTTTAAATCTTGATACTGTGTGATTCTTTCAAGGTGTATGTATCGTGATACGTATCGTATCGCAGGAAAAATATCGCAATATGTATCGTATCATGACATAGTGTATCGTCCCAGCCCTATGACTAACTTTAAATCATACATTATGCATAAAGCAGATTCTTTGGGGGCTAGTTGAATCATCGTGATCTTTGCTCTGAACTGATACGGTTGTCTGATTCAATTTTCCAATTATCGAACAAGAAGAAGCCACAGGGTATTACTTACCAGGAGAGAGCCTTTGGTGTGTAAGGTGCTGATGAGACAGCTGCCATCATCATAGAAATAACCTTTGTCGATAGCCATCAGGGAATCACTCTGAAAAACACAAGGCAACATACAGCAATAGCTACCTGTACATCTTTCAGTAGATATCACCTGTATCATTTACAGGTGTTTCCTGCATTATTTGGAGTAGGTAATACGTGCACTTTATGCCATGACATACAGAAGGTATTACCTGTAACACATACAGGTGTTTCATTAGTAAAAGATGCTGTAAAGCTCACAGCAGGTGTTACCTAACTACTAACAGGTAGGAGAGAATGATGGAACTAACCACATCCATGGGATCACTGATTTCCTTCAAGCGCTCACTGATCTGGCTGCAGATATAGAATTCCCAGGGACAAGCCGGTTTCTGAACCTGCCAACACAAGGCTCAATGAAACATTCAATGAAACATTCAAGAAAGTAAAGATGACATGAATAAAGAAGTAACAGCTAGCTTGCTTACTGAATTACTTCCTTCCTTAAGTGGTTATTACAGCCTCATGATATTGCCGACACGGACAAGTGGTTATTACAGCCTCATGATATTGCTCACATTGACAGGTCGTTATTTTGGCCTCATGATATTGCTGACACTGACAAGTGGTTATTACAACCTCATGATATTGCCTATTTTGACAGGTGGTTATTATGTTCCATGATATTGCTCACATAGACAGGTGGTTATTATGGCCTCATGATATTGCTCACAGACACAGGTGGTTATTACCGCCTCATGATATTGCTCACAGACACAGGTGGTTATTACGACCTTCCATGATATTGCTCACATAGACAGGCGGTTATTAAAGCCTCATGATATTGCTCACATAGACAGGTGGTTATTACAACCTCATGATATTGCTCACATAGACAGGTGGTTATTAAAGCCTCATGATATTGCTCACATAGACAGGTGGTTATTACGACCTCATGATATTGCTCACATAGACAGGCGGTTATTAAAGCCTCATGATATTGCTCACATAGACAGGCGGTTATTAAAGCCTCATGATATTGCTGACATAGACAGGTGGTTATTAAAGCCTCATGATACTGCTCATGATATTGCTGACATAGACAGGTGGTTATTACAGCCTGATGATACTGCTCAGACAAGTGGTAATTATGTCCTCATCACACTCATTATACTGTGTATGTTGACAGGTTATGACCTCATTATACTGTGTATGTTGACAGTAGACTGACATCCATGCGTTGCTTATGTCGACAGAAGGTAATGTCCTTATTGCTCACTGCAGATTTATAACCACACTGTTTTGCCTACCTTGAGAGCTTTTTCCTCCCCCTCGGTATCACATAAATCATCAAGGTTGTCCATGTCAAATAATCTTCCCCTGTACACACTGCCAAAACCTCCTTTACCAATACATTCAGAGATGTTGTACGTCTCTGTTCCTGGAAAGAGACAAACCATTTCCACATTCAATTCTGTTAACAAAACACACTGACAAACATATTATCTACAGTGCAGAATGAGTTTTATATTAATCCATGCTGAAATCAATTGCTAATAACAAACGAAATATTTTGAGGGCACAAGCTAGTCTGAACTTCACAAACTAACTTGAGTGCCTGTCAGAACTGTTGTTCCTGACTAAAATAATTTCTCTTTTAAGGTTATATCTTTCACATCATTATTTGTGCAATACTCCAAGAGTGAGTGAGTATGGTTTTACACCGCTTTTAGCAATATTCCAGCAATATCAATGAGTGTTCACGAATGGCGGTTCAAAGTAACAGGACATTGGGTCCTGTAAGTTTCAGATGTCTGTCTGACCCATTGAAAATTCACAGGACCCATAGAATACAATTAAACACACATTTCAGATTAAACATTTCTTATAATTAGCATCAAAATTATTAACATACATTAGATTTATAAACAGCAAACAAGTGTCACATGTCACATATAAAAACTTCAGTCAAAGTCATTGAGAAATATAGTCAGACACTGGGGCCGGCGGGTGGTAGACTTCTATCGGACCGTTGGTGAATCTGCCGGATTTGTCAGAGGGTCAGACGCTATTCGTGAACACTGTATCACGGTGGGGAACTCCAGAAATGGACTTCACACATTGTACCCATGTGGGGAATTGAACCCAGGTCTTTGCCATGACAAGCGAACGCTTTAACCACTAGGCCCCCTTTACTTCAAGAAAGACTCACCTAGGAGAACAAATGTTGTGATCATATGTGGCAAGGGTTCATTGATATGATAGTAGTTCTTGTATTCATCTAAAGGACGTTCCAGACTGGACAAAACTTCATCAATCTCAGCCTGGTCAAAGGGGTCATGAGGGTTGATCATAACTGACATAGACAGGTGGTTATTACAGCCTCATGATACTGCTCAGACAAGTGGTAATTATGTCCTCATCACACTCATTATACTGTGTATGTTGACAGGTTATGACCTCATTATACTGTGTATGTTGACAGTAGACTGACATCCATGCGTTGCTTATGTCGACAGAAGGTAATGTCCTTATTGCTCACTGCAGATTTATAACCACACTGTTTTGCCTACCTTGAGAGCTTTTTCCTCCCCCTCGGTATCACATAAATCATCAAGGTTGTCCATGTCAAATAATCTTCCCCTGTACACACTGCCAAAACCTCCTTTACCAATACATTCAGAGATGTTGTACGTCTCTGTTCCTGGAAAGAGACAAACCATTTCCACATTCAATTCTGTTAACAAAACACACTGACAAACATATCATCTACAGTGCACAATGAGTTTTATATTAATCCATGCTGAAATCAATTGCTAATAACAAACGAAATATTTTGAGGGCACAAGCTAGTCTGAACTTCACAAACTAACTTGAGTGCCTGTCAGAACTGTTGTTCCTGACTAAAATAATTTCTCTTTTAAGGTTATATCTTTCACATCATTATTTGTGCAATAAGTTTACTCCAAGAGTGAGTGAGTATGGTTTTACACCGCTTTTAGCAATATTCCAGCAATATCAATGAGTGTTCACGAATGGCGTTTCAAAGTAACAGGACATTGGGTCCTGTAAGTTTCAGATGTCTGTCTGACCCATTGAAAATTCACAGGACCCATAGAATACAATTAAACACATATTTCAGATTAAACATTTCTTATAATTAGCATCAAAATTATTAACATACATTAGATTTATAAACAGCAAACAAGTGTCACATGTCACATATAAAAACTTCAGTCAAAGTCATTGAGAAATATAGTCAGACACTGGGGCGGGTGGTAGACTTCTATCGGACCGATGGTGAATCTGCCGGATTTGTCAGAGGGTCAGACGCTATTCGTGAACACTGTATCACGGTGGGGAACTCCAGAAATGGACTTCACACATTGTACCCATGTGGGGAATTGAACCCAGGTCTTTGCCATGACAAGCGAACGCTTTAACCACTAGGCCCCCTTTACTTCAAGAAAGACTCACCTAGGAGAACAAATGTTGTGATCATATGTGGCAAGGGTTCATTGATATGATAGTAGTTCTTGTATTCCTCTAAAGGACGTTCCAGACTGGACAAAACTTCATCAATCTCAGCCTGGTCAAAGGGGTCATGAGGGTTGATCATAACTGACATAGACAGCAGTGCTTCCGTCTTCTCATCCGGCTCAGGAGCCACATAGTCAGCCATGTCGATCTCGTGATGCTTGTGACTGTCTGGGATGGTGATGGGGCAAAGCTCTAGAGTGGTCACATGGTGTTTAGAGTTGAGGTGGCTGGGATGACACTTGGACTCTTCCCCACTGCCCTCTGTACTTCCCTCAAAGATAGGACTGAAATGGAAGGGAGTTTCCGCACTGACATACTTCACCACAAGGGACAAAATACTTTAATATTTCCATACACATATCATTATTCAGTCTTGTTCAAAGGGTCAGAATAAAGATGCCCACTCACCTGAGAGAAGTTTTAGATGGTGGTGCTATGCTAACATCAAAACTTGGCTGTTGGGGGTTCTGCAGAGACTGTGCTGACACAACCTCAGGGTGTTCCTGGGGTGCCTTGATCTGGCTGAGTGGGGGGTTCGGCAGTTGTGGTAACTTCCCCATTGATAAATAAGGGGTGGATGCAAGACAGGCTGCAGAGGCAAAGCTCTCACTGGATCCAACATTTGCCAGTGTCATGTCTGTCATGGGCATGTGTAATATGTAGTCATCTGGAGAATCCTCACTTGGCATAACCTGAACAGAAAGGCTTTCTCAAATTTGTGATTGGGATCATAAAGCTAGCGAGATTGTCAATAAAGTCACTCCTTCATACACAACTATACATATTATATGTTAAAGCTACGGAAGGTAAAAGTAATGTTAACCTCCTGGCACCTCACAGACTACTTGGGTTATAAACTTCCCAGGGAATTTAAATAACCTAGTAACCTGAGTAAAATCCAGGGGCCTAAATTTTCGAAGCTCTCTTAGTGTTAAGATGTTCATAAGTGCCATACATTAACATTAACTTACGACTATCTTAGCGCTCAGAGAGCATCGATAAATTTAGGCCCAGGTCATCAGGCTACTCTGACATCTAAGCCAAATCACTTTAGTGAGTGAGTGAGGTTTTATGCCGTTTTTAGCAATAATCCAGCAATATCATAGCAGTGTTCTCCCAAAATGGGCTTCACACATTGGGCGTGACAAGTGAATGCATTAACCACTAGGCTACCCTACCAACCCCTAAATCATTTTAGTAGAATAGCCTATTCCAAATTTAGTCTGCTTTTACATCAGGTGCTGGGGTTGAAGTCACTGGTGGTTCTACTGTCAGGCTAGAGAAGAATATTGAGATGGGCCTACCTTGACAGTTTCCACCATGACTATATCATGCTCCCCCTCAGGGTCGACAGGGAGACCTATGGATGGCTGCAAGTGGCCTGACAAGTTGTGGCGGCGAGGAGCAGGCTTGTAATCCTTGGGGGGCCTGGAAGTTAACAAACTACCCTTCTCAAGGCTAAAGCAATCATATGACTATGTCCTAATCATAATGAAACACAATATAATTAGTGAGTGAGTGAGTGAGTTTGGTTTTAAGCCGCTTTTAGCAATATTCCAGCAACATCACGGCGGGGGTACACCAGAAATGGGCTTCAGACATTGTACCCATGTGGGGAATCGAACCGGGCCTTCGGCGTGACAAACCAATGCTTCACCCATAGGCTACCCCACTTCAGTGCAACCATAACTTTGATCAGTCCAGTGAGTAAGTTTAATTTTACGCGACTTTCAGGAATATTCCAGCAATATCACGTCGGGGGACACAAGAAATGGGCTTCACACATTGGATCCATGGATCCCGGATCTTCGGTGTGATGAGGGACACTTTAACCACTAGGCTACCCCATCGCCCCAATCAGTCCAGTGTTTCATCTGACATGTCAACAGGGAAATGGGAACATTCATGGAAGAGAGGCCATGTCATTACTAACTGACAATTACTTACGTGTTCTCTTTGTCACCAGCTGGATCCTGTTGAGTAATCATTGGCACAGCTTGCTCTTCTGATTCGTCATAGATGGCGAAGGGCTGATTACCAACAGGGGCTATCACAGCAGCTTGAGCTAAACAAAGACAATCACAGATGTTCAAAAACAAAAGATAACTTCACAAAAATTCAAACAAACCTGTAGAGGTTTCTGATTCTTTGATGAGAGTCCTCCTTGGGGTACATATAAGCATTAAAATGTCCATTTTCAATCCCAACGACAGTTGTAACTATATTTTGAATAAAATATCTACAAACAAAAAACAACGTTTTTGTCTCGTCGACCACCCCTATGGACCCCAGAATGGACCCGTCCACCAAGAACAGGCAACTCTAGGCGCTAACCTCGTACCTCACTTTCCATGCTAAACGTATCAGACAGAATGTGAGACGGTGGGTGGCCGTACCCCAAGGAGGACTCTTAACAAATAATCAGCAACCTCTACAGGTTTGTTCGATTCTTTTTCATGAGAGATCCTCCTTGGGGTACATATAAGCATAAGACAGACTCCTAAAGACAAGAGTCCTGGGAGTGGTATTCTGTCTGATAAACTACGCCCCCGACAAGCTGAACATTCCCAACTGTAAAAAGAAAAAGGAACAGCTCACTTACCTGGCCACGTGACCTCTTCAGCCAATCTGGCAAGGGCGTGGTCCAGGGTCAGGGACAATATATTCTGCTCATATGCAAATGAGGCAGTGAACTATGCATGAAGTAAACAATTGTGCCCCACCCCCATCCCGAGTTTCATAAACACCTAAGGAGGGAGAGACATTAAATCCCATGAAACCGCAGCAAAGCTTAGATTTCTAAGGAATAATGCACAAAGAAGATACACAGGGAGAACAAACCATCACCATAAAAAACAAACACCAAGTAAGGGTAAAAAGGGAAGGAAAGTTGACCGCAAACCCGCCACCAGTAAAAAACAGATAAAGCCGTAAATCTAAAGCTCAATCGGCTAGAGAGTTACGACTCTGCCCACTGGAGTGAACAGACTGACCAAACCGAGCACGCTCACTGGAGTGTCTGACAAGTTGATAATGCCGGATGAACGTACTCGGCCGGCTCCAGATAGCCACGGAGCAGATCTCCTCAACAGGCAGAGCCCCAGCATAAGCCTTAGATGTGGCGACTGCTCTAACCAAATGAGCTTTTAACCCAGAAGGTGGTGTTAACCCTTTCTGTGTATAGCTCGTACCAAATGGCAGAGACAAGCCACCTAAATATGGTCTGCTTGTTCGCCGGAAGACCAGCCTTACCTCCACCATAACAGCAAAACAATTGGTTATCTCTCCAGATAGCCAATGTCCGCTTGATATAAGCCTTGAGGGTCTTACGCACATCTAAGACGTGAGCACGCCGAAGAGAGGTACCCGGTGGGGAAGGCTAAGTGAAAGCTGGAAGCTCAATAGGCGCCGTGACATGAAAGGCGCTGTCTCTCTAATGCTAACTCTGTCTTTATGAAAAACAGTTAGCTGGGGTCGGCTGACATTGCATGAATGTTGCCTACTGGCCAGCCGGAGGTTACCGCCACAAGAAAAGCTGCCTTCCACGTCAACAGCTGGAGGGAAAGAGCCAACAGATCATAAAAGAAAGGACCGGACAGCCAATCAAGAACGATCGACAAGTCCCACGGGGGACTGATCCGCCGGACACCCCACCTAGATATGGTCTGCCACACCTGCTGTGTGGATTCTGTCCACACCTGCTAAAAAACGCTGTACAAGAGGGTGCTGCCCCAAGAGTGCACCGTCGACAGGAATATGAAACGCTGAAATAGCCGTTGAGTTACCTCGAACAGTTGAAGCAGCTAGCCCCGCTTCAAACCGAGACTGGAGGAACTCAAGCACCGTGACTAGATCTGCAGAAAAGGGATCAAGCATCCCCCTGCCGACACACCAGCGCGTATAGCAGGCCCATCTATCCTCATATTGAAAGTTTGTCGAATCCTTCCGCGAAGCCAGAATGGTGTTTGCAACTGATGCAGGAATTCCGCTCGTCTGGAGGCGATTCCGGACAGTGGCCATGCCACCCACTGAATCCTGGGATTCGGGTGTGGCGCTCCATTCTGGGATAGAAGATCCGGTCGAAAGGGTAATAGTACAGGAGGCTGAGCCAGAAACCTGAGAATTACCGGAAACCAGCTTTGAGCTAACCAAAGAGGTGCAAGGAGCACTAACAGTCGAGCTGGTTGGGTGGCCAACTGCGATAGGATCTTGGATATCAGTGGTATCGGTGGGAACACCCACAGTACCCTGTCCGTCCAGTCGAGTTGGAAGGCATCGTTGGCTATCGCTCTCCCAGTATCCGGTATCCGAGAGCAAAACTCTGGTATCTGGTTCGTCGCACCAGAGGCAAACTGATCCACCTGGAACGACCTATACAAATGGGTGATAATCCTGAATGTCCCCCGGTCTAGCATCCACTCGTGTGATATGCAGACTGATCTCGTGCTCCAGAGGAACACCCCTGGATAAGTTCCCGCAACCGCAAGTGAGGGGTTAACCAGTCGGGCCTCACGAGAACCTTCTCGTAGCTCTCCGAATGGGACCACAGTTGAGCCAGTGCCTGCTGTATAGGTCTCATCAGACACGCACGCCACACCACATACACAGTCGCCGCCAAGTTGCCTAGCAACTGGAGCCACGCCCGAGCTGAAGCCGCGGGAGTCTCAAGAAACTGTAAAACAGTTCTCTGAACTTTGGCAATGCAGTCCTGAGACAGGGAAACAATCCTTGTCTCTGTTTTGTATCTTGTTTCCAAGAAAAACAGATCCTGTGTCGGAACGAGTTCTGATTTTTTTAGATTGATAATCCATCCCAGCCGTATGAGAATATCCATCACGTGATGTGTGGTATTCCTGCTCAACTGCTGGCCTAACGCCCGGAGCAGCCAGTAGTCGAGGTACGGGTGACAAAACCTGCCCTCTGACCTGGCTAACTGAGCTGGGATTAACATGAGTTTGGTGAACATCCTTGGCGCCTTGGAGATGACAAAGGGGAGCACATGAAACTGGTAGCACTTCTCGTCAAAGGAGAACCTAATGTACTTCTTGAAATCGGTGTGCATTGGTACATGTAGGTAAGCGTCTTTGAGATCGCTTGACGTGAGCCAATCCCTTGTCTCGACGGAGTAGATCACTGAGCGCAGTGTCTCCATCCTGAAAGATGGCACTTCTATCATTTTGTTCAGCCCTTTTAGATTGAGTATGGGTCTGAACCCTCCGTCCTTCTTGGTCACTATGAAATACGTGGAGTAAAATCCCTAGTTTTCGTGACCTTCCGGGACCACCAGTAGAGACTGGACCTCGGCACAGAGAATGCCCGCTTTTTCCTGGGAGATGAGCACAGGAGTGTGCCGCATCCCAGTGAATGGTGGCGGACCTCGCTTCCACTGTGGCATATGGCCATCCCTGAGTGTGGACAGGACCCAGGGATTTGAAGTGGCTTTCACCCATTCCGGGAAGAAGAGTGTAAGCTGGACGCCTACAGGGACGTGTGGCATGAGGCAGTGCACTCCCACACGCCCGATCTATCCGACTTCAGAGGCTGACTTCAGAGCTGGGGCGTTGGCAGGGAAAGGCGGCAGTCGCTGGCCCTGCCTTGCCGAAGACAGGGAGGAAGAGGAACCACCAAGTGTGACAGACGTAAAGACGCACTCATCCACCACCGGCGGCTCAAACAGTGCCTCTTCTCCCAAAGGGTACCGCCTGCTAAGTTCCGGTAGACAAGAGCGAGTACCCGAGAGGAGAGGATTAATCACCGTGGCAATCAATGATGAGAGAATACAGAGTTTAGCCTCAGCCACTCGCGTAGGCACAAAAGCCTCCCCCGGAAGGCGAAATTCCGAGGGGTCAGGCCCAAGCACAGGCACAGGAACAGTAACCTGAGGCAGCACTTGTGCAATGCGTTCGCGCACCTGCCTCAGAGACGATCCAAAAGAGTACGAGACCTCACCCTCTGGCTCGTCTCTTCCCCCATCCTCCTCCATGTCCACATCGTCACATCCCTCGGTAACCGAACTCTCTGTAAAGAGAGACGGCTCCGTGGGCACCGTTCACATAGAACATGAAGGACTCAAGGAAAAGATAACCAGAGGGTTCAGATCGCCCTGTCCCCGGCTCGGACCTGAGCCGCGGGGCTGAGGCAACAAGGTAGGAACTGCCGAAGCAGGCCGCCCAGTGTGCCCAGCCAAGCCTCTGAGCGCCGAGGGACCTGGTTGCCCAGGTATGCTCAGGCGCCCATCGGCGGCAGACGAATCCTGCGCCCCACCGGGGTAGGAGCCCAACTCGGCACTAGGAACAACAGACAGACCATCCCCCGAGCCGAGACTCGGGGTAGGTTGCCCAGGGATAGGTGCACGCCACCGTCCCCAGGAGAGCAACCTGGACCATCGAGATTAACACATTGCGTGCCGAGCTCCTGACGGAGCCCGGACATTGCACTATCAATCATCGACTTCACATTAGACATCTGCTGCTGCTTGTGTTGCTGAAATAGTGAAGCAATTGAGTCAATATGTAAGGCAGCAGCAGGGGGTGTGGGGGGGGGTTGGACTGACTGACTGGCTGCAAGTGGCCTGACAAGTTGTGGCGGCGAGGAGCAGGCTTGTAATCCTTGGGGGGCCTGGAAGTTAACAAACTACCCTTCTCAAGGCTAAAGCAATCATATGACAATGTCCTAATCATAATGAAACACAATATAATTAGTGAGTGAGTGAGTGAGTTTGGTTTTACGCCGCTTTTAGCAATATTCCAGCAACATCACGGCGGGGGGGGGCACCAGAAATGGGCTTCACACATTGTACCCATGTGGGGATTCGAAACTGGGTCTTCGGAGTGACGAGCCAACGCTTTAACCACTAGGCTACCCCACCGCCCCTGTGGGGGATTTGGAGGTGGAGGGAACAGGTGACATCTTAGACACGATGCATGACCACTGCAACAAACGTCAAGTCTGACAGAGAACGTATAACGTAACCACAAAAATATGCATGGGCGATTAATAAATATAAATATTACCCATACTAGCATATAGACTGTACTTAAACAAGAAGACAAAGACCCCGCAATGGCAAAATACTCTTCATGATTATGTCTATGAGTTATGATTATGTCAAATATTTAGGTGTGTATATAGAAAAGTGGAAGGAGAGTATTGAAAGGTTTTTAAAGTTCTGCTCCAGAAAAGAGCACTACCACCAATTTCAGGCTAAGTCGAACTTGTTGCCATGGAAATGCCAAAAATATTTTATTCAGAATTCCAAAACTACCAAAAGGCACCAGTACACCACCAGACCAATCTATGTGCCAAGTTTGGTGAAAAAATAGCGAACGGTTTTAGAGTTCAGCTCCGGAAAAGAGCACTACCACAATTTCAGGCTAAGTCAAACTTGTTGCCACAGAAAAGCCAAAAATATTTTATTCAGAATTCCACAACTACGAAAAAGGCACCAGTACACCACCAGATCTATCTATGTGCCAAGTTTGGTGAAGAAATATTGAACGGTTTTAGAGTTCTGCTCCGGAAAAGAGCACTACCACCAATTTCAGTCAAAGTCGAACTTGTTGCCACAGAAAAACCAAAAATATTTTATTCACAATTCCAAAACTACGAAAAAGGCACCAGTACACCACCAGATCCATGTATGTGCCAAGATTGGTGAAGAAATATTGAACGATTTTAGAGTTCTGCTCCGGAAAACAAATGTGGACAGACGGACGGACGGACGAGACCTGGACTCCGGGACGCATCGGACGGAGTCCATTTGAATTCAAAACTACCAAAAGGCACCAGTACACCACCAGATCTATCTATGTGCCAAGTTTGGTGAAGAAATAGCTGAACGGTTTTAGAGTTCAGCTCTGGAAAAGAGCACTACCACCAATTTCAGGCTAAGCCAAACTTGTTGCCACAGAAAAGCCAAAAATATTTTATTCACAATTCCAAAACTACGAAAAAGGCACCAGTATACCACCAGATCTATCTATGTGCCAAGTTTGGTGAAGAAATATTGAAACGGTTTTAGAGTTCTGCTCGAAAAGAGCACTACCACCAATTTCAGTCAAAGTCGAACTTGTTGCCACGGAAAAGCCAAAAATATTTAATTCACAATTCCAAAACTACCAAAAGGCACCAGTACACCACCAGATCCATGTATGTGCCAAGATTGGTGAAGAAATATTGAACGATTTTAGAGTTCTGCTCCGGAAAACAAATGTGGACAGACGGACGGACGGACGGACGGACTCACGGACGCACGGACGGAGTCCATTTGAATTCCAAAACTACCAAAAGGCACCAGTACACCACCGGATCTATCTATGTGCCCAGTTTGGTGAAGAAATAGTGAACGGTTTTAGAGTTCTACTCCGGAAAAGACAAATGTGCACAGACGGATGGACGGACGGATGGACGCACGGACAGAGTCCATTTTAATACCCCCCGCAAAACGCGCTTGCAGGGGAGAATAAGAACTAGTGCATGCCAGCCCACTTCATAACATGGAGCCCATTAGCAACATATGACGTGAATACAACTATTTAGAGCAAATCACGTAATATAAATAATCCACCTGAAAAGAGATAAATATCTACAAATTCAGTAACACAACACACAAACCTAGACAAGGGAGCTACAGGGTAACCTGAAAAAGCAAGCGTGTATGCGCCTCCCGTCCGCCATCTTGACAAGTACATGGCAAGCCAACAGGGACTAAGACGAAAGTTACAACAAATGATGAATGAAAACTTTCAAAAACATTGATCAATTACCGCCCATGCGAATAAGAGATAACCATACATACAGTAGCTGTTTCTGAAGAACTCTTCTGGTCAATCGAAAGGGAAAATCAACTTGTAAGCTGAAGGACACGTCGATACTGACGAACAACAGCATGGAACGAGGTACGAGGTTAGCGCCTAGAGTTACCTGTTCTTGGCGGACAGGTCCATTCTGGTGTCCGTAGGGGTAGTTGAACAAGACAAAACGTTGTTTTTTGTTTGTAAATATTTTATTCAAAATATAGTTACAACTGTCGCAGGGATTCAAAATGGACATTTTAATCCTTTAAAAGGAGGATCTCTCATGAAAAAGAATACTTGTTTGTTTGTGGTTTAATGCCACACTCAGCAGTTTTCCAGCCATAAAATGGAAGTCTGAAGCTATTCGAGTCTGAACCAAACAATCCAGTGTTTAACATCATGAGCATTGATCTACACAATTGGGACAAGTATGGGTTGATGAAGACCAGCATTGCAATACATGATATGAAACAAAAATTAAACAAAAATATTTAGCAAAACCTAGTTATATAATGAGATTAAATTTTAACCACTTTAATATTTTATGAGCGCTTCAGTAATCATAATATGACTAAGCTTGACAAGCAAGTTAGGTAGGTAATATTTCTGATGAAAGGACTTTCTGCTGTACGTAAAAAATAGACCCTCATTATTCTATTTCATAATGTAATCTAACATCATTATATTTTGTTATATTTACATCAGTCAACAGACAACCATTTAGTCTAGTTTTTGTTTAGAAATAGTTTGTGTGTGTGCAGGAAATGATGACATCATGAGTGATGTGCAGGAAATGATGATGCCATCATGAGTGATGTGCAGGAAATGATGATGCCATAAGTGATGGGTAGGAAATGATGACATCATGAGTGATGTGTAGGTGAGGTGAAATTGGGTTTAACGTCGTGCTTGAGAATATTTCGCTCATATGACGATGTGATGTGTAGGAAATGATGACGCCATAAGTGATGTGTAGGAAATGATGACGCCATAAGTGATGTGTAGGAAATGATGACATCATGAGTGATGTGTAGGAAATGATGACGTAATGAGTGATGTGTAGGAAATGATGACGTAATGAGTGATGTGTAGGAAATGATGACGTGTATGAGAGTGATGTGATAGGAAATGATGATGTAATGAGTGATGTGTGCAGGAAATGGTGAGGAAATGATGACGTAATGAGTGATGTGTAGGAAATGATGACGTAATGATGTAGGAAATGATGACGTAATGAAAATGATGACGTAATGAGTGATGTGTAGGAAATGATGACATAATGAGTGATGTGTAGGAAATGATGACGTAATGAGTGATGTGTAGGAAATGATGACGTAATGAGTGATGTGTAGGAAATGATGACGTAATGAGTGATGTGTACGAAATGATGACGTAATGAGTGATATGTAGGAAATGATGACGTAATGAGTACGTGTAGGAAATGATGACGTAATGAGTGATGTGTAGGAAATGATGAAGTAATGGGTGATGTGTAGGAAATGATGACGTAATGAGTGATATGTAGGAAATGATGACGTAATGAGTGATGTGTGTAGGAAATGATGATATGTAAAATGAGAAACGAATGACGTGTAGGAAATGATGACGAATGAGTGATGTGTAGGAAATGATGAAGTAATGGGTGATGTGTAGGAAATGATGACGTAATGAGTGATATGTAGGAAATGATGACGTAATGAGTGATGTGTAGGAAATGATGACGTAATGAGTGATGTGTAGGAAATGATGACGTCATGAGATGATGAGTATGAAATGATGACGTAATGAGTGATGTGTAGGAAATGATGACGTAATGAGTAATGTGTAGGAAATGATGACGTAATGAGTGATGTGTAGGAAATGATGAAGTAATGAGTGATGTGTAGGAAATGATGACGTAATGAGTGATCTGTAGGAAATGATGACGTAATGAGTGATGTGTAGGAAATGATGACGTAATGAGTGATGTGTAGGAAATGATGACGTATGACGACGTAATGAGTGATGTGTAGGAAATGATGACGTAATGAGTGATGTGTAGGAAATGATAGTAATGAGTGATGTGTAGGAAATGATAAAGTCATGAGATGATGTGTAGGAAATGATGAGGTCATGAGATGATGTGTAGGAAATGATGAGGTCATGAGATGATGTGTAAAATGATGGCGGTTGAAATAAATGCAGAACCAATATCGGAGACTCAATCTGTTTTTATTCAGAGAAAGAGGCATGAAACGATCCCAGTACCCACGTAAAGCTGCACTATATCTTTCCCTATACTACATCATTTGGGTACAATGACACAATGAACCGGGCTATTTATTGCAAACATTCAACTGTCAGTTTTAGTTGTATGTCAAGCATGGTACACTGAACCTACTCTGTCCCCAAAAGGCATGGACATCACCTATCTTACCTCCAGTGACTTCTCCGGTAGGCTCTTCACCAGGCCAGCCATACTGTTTCTCACAGTCCAGGGAGGCATTGAACATTCCACGGACAACCTTCAGGGCCTCCTGTGTGTTCACTGTTGGGGATGGGGCTACTAAACTCTGAAACAGTAACATTCACCCATGGAAACCAGAAATAATTTAGACATTTCCACAAAAAATAAGGACTCATAGAAAATATTCACTTCAAATTCCTGAAATTAATGTGAAAAATGCTGTTCAATCAGGACATAATTGAGTATATAATCATATCAGATTCATTGCAAAATGGGCCTGAAAAATTGACAAACTTAGAACTGATCTCAATAAATTGGCCACTTGATTAAGATGGTGTATGGTCTTAGAATCATTTACAGATGTTTTTATCTGTTTTATTGTTCATTGACCTATTTACACAAGAGTAGCAATGTTGTGGTGCATATATGAAATGAAACACAAGATTACTGATACTCTAATTTCCATTCAGTACTCTAAATGTACACTTCAGGTTTTCCAGTGCTCCTGTATTGACTAAATAAGGAGTACATACTCCTGATGTTGAAAAATTATCTGGAGCCCAGAGGTGTCAAACAATTGAAGTTAAGATAGTGTTGATACTATTCAATTGAACTGCTACCATGCAATTCCAATTCTACTGTCCTGAAATCATTATTTGCTTATTAGCTTTACAAGTTCAAAAGCAGGGCAACTTATTTCATCATACAAATTTTTCCTGGGTGTGAAATAATTTGCTTTGAACCTATAAGTTGTTTTGGATTTCATACCTGTGAAAGAAAGGATTTGGGGGCGAATAGACAGCAGAAACTTTTGTCAAGATTCACATACAAATGACAAATGGTTTCTGACAAACTAGTGCATGTGAATGCATATTTAGCATCATGATGATAAAGTTAACAGTTTGGAAAGGCAACTGACCCCTCGATGGGAAAAACTGTTGCTGTCTGGTGTGGGTCCCCGAGACTTGGGCCTGGCACCAGAAGAACCATGAAAGGAGTTGACTGAGGTGTTAAAGACTGGTGTCCTCTGACTGGAGTTGAGGCTGGTGGAGGGGTCTGTGGGGGCTTCCATCTTCCTCCGTGCATCTCGAGATGCTAGCAGCTGTGCTGACAGACCAGGAGGCACATTCTCTGTGTTGCCATGGGAAGTCATATCATCAAAGTTGAGCTGGCGAGTCAGTCTTTCACTGGAAAGACCATTTTAGACCTCAATATCCGCTTATGATATACATTTGTGGATGAGAGGCACTATATACATGCTGTTCTCCTGTTTACCTGGTATACAGCGGCAGAATGTACCTGTTGTTCTGTATATCGGGTGTAAGGGGGCAATATTTACCTGCTGTTCCCCTGTGTATCTGGTGTAAGATGGGCAGTATTTACCTGCTGTGCCCCTGTGTATCTGATGTAATATGGGCAGTATTTACCTGCTGTTCTCCTGTGTATCTGGTGTAAGGGGGTAGTATTTACCTGCTGTTCCCCTGTGTATCTGATGTAAGATGGGCAGTATTTACCTGCTGTTCCCCTGTGTATCTGGTGTAATATGGGCAGTATTTACCTGCTGTTCTCCTGTGTATCTGGTATCAGAGGGGCAGTATTTACCTGCTGTTCCCCTGTGTATCTGGTGTAATATGGGCAGTATTAACTGCTGTTCTCCTGTGTATCTGGTATCAGAGGGGCAGTATTTACCTGCTGTTCTCCTGTGTATCTGGTGTAAGAGGGGCAGTATTTACCTGCTTCTCCTCTGTGTATCTGGTGTAAGAGGGGCAGTATTTACCTGCTGTTCTCTTGTGTATCTGGTGTAATATGGGCAGTATTTACCTGTTGTTCTGTATATCTGGTGTAAGGGGGCAATATTTACCTGCTGTTCTCCTGTGTATCTGGTGTAAGATGGGCAGTATTTACCTGCTGTTCCCCTGTGTATCTGGTGTAAGATGGGCAGTATTTACCTGCTGTTCCCCTGTGTATCTGGTGTAAGATGGGCAGTATTTACCTGCTGTTCTCCTGTGTATCTGGTGTCAGAGGGGCAGTATTTACCTGCTGTTCTCCTGTGTATCTGGTGTAATATGGGCAGTATTTACCTGTTGTTCTGTATATCTGGTGTAAGGTGCAATATTTACCTGCTGTTCTCCTGTGTATCTGGTGTAAGAGTATTTAGCATTTACCTGCTGTTCTCCTGTGTATCTGGTGTAAGATGGGCAGTATTTACCTGCTGTTCCCCTGTGTATCTGGTGTAAGATGGGCAGTATTTACCTGCTGTTCCCCTGTGTATCTGGTGTAAGATGGGCAGTATTTACCTGCTGTCTCCCTGTGTATCTGGTGTAAGAGGGGCAGTATTTACCTGCTGTTCCTCCTGTGTATCTGGTGTAAGATGGGCAAGCAACATTTACCTGCTGCTCCTCCTGTATCTGGCAGTATTTACCTGCTGTTCCCCTGTGTATCTGGTGTAAGAGGGCAGCATTTACCTGCTGTTCTCCTGTGTGGCAAGGGGCAGTGTTTACCTGCTGTTCCTCCTGTGTATCTGGTGGTGTAAGATGGGCAGTATTTACCTGCTGTTCCCCTGTGTATCTGGTATCAGAGGGGCAGTATTTACCTGCTGTGCCCCTGTGTATCTGGTATCAGAGGGGCAGTATTTACCTGCTGTTCCCCTGTGTATCTGGTGTCAGAGGGGCAGTATTTACCTGCTGTTCTCTTGTGTATCTGGTGTAATATGGGCACTATTTACCTGTTGTTCTGTATATCTGGTGTAAGGGGGCAATATTTACCTGCTGTTCTCCTGTGTATCTGGTGTAAGAAGGGCAGTATTTACCTGCTGTTCCCCTGTGTATCTGGTGTAAGATGGGCAGTATTTACCTGCTGTTCCCCTGTGTATCTGGTGTAAGATGGGCACTGTGTATTTACCTGTTGTTCTGTGTGTATCTGGTGTAAGGGGCAAGATGGGCAATTTTACCTGCTGTTCTCCTGTGTATCTGGTGTAAGAAGGGCAGTATTTACCTGCTGTTCCCCTGTGTATCTGGTGTAAGATGGGCAGTATTTACCTGCTGTTCCCCTGTGTATCTGGTGTAAGATGGGCAGTATTTACCTGCTGTTCTCCTGTGTATCTGGTGTCAGAGGGGCAGTATTTACCTGCTGTTCTCCTGTGTATCTGGTGTAATATGGGCAGTATTTACCTGTTGTTCTGTATATCTGGTGTAAGGGGGCAATATTTACCTGCTGTTCTCCTGTGTATCTGGTGTAAGGGGCAGTATTTACCTGCTGTTCCCCTGTGTATCTGGTGTAAGATGGGCAGTATTTACCTGCTGTTCCCCTGTGTATCTGGTGTAAGATGGGCAGTATTTACCTGTTGTCTCCTGTGTATCTGGTGTAAGAAGGGCAGTATTTACCTGCTGTCTCCTGTGTATCTGGTGTAAGAGGGGCAGTATTTACCTGCTGTTCCCCTGTGTATCTGGTGTAAGATGGGCAGTATTTACCTGCTGTTCCCCTGTGTATCTGATGTGTGGAGGCAGTGTTTACCTGCTGTTCTCCTGTGTATCTGGTGTGAGATGGGCAGTATTTACCTGATGTTCCCCTGTGTATCTGGTGCAAGATGGGCAGTATTTACCTGCTGTTCTCCTGTGTATCTGGTGTAAGAGGGGCAGTATTTACCTGTTGTCTCCTGTGTATCTGGTGTAAGAGGGGCAGTATTTACCTGCTGTTCTCCTGTGTATCTGGTGTGTGGCTAATATTGAGTTGCCTCTGCAAACGCTGTTGTATGTCCTGATCCACTGCATTCTGGGCTTGCTGTGTCTGTGTGAGCCTACACAAAAAGTATGTAAGGAATGAGTTGGATTTATTTCCACTATTTCAGCTACATGACAGCATATCAACTTAAGATAAGTGAAAATCCCAAACTAATACAGACTACTGACAGACACATTTCTGATGCTCATCTTGAACAGATTTTTGTATCCAGGTAATTAATTATCAGAATTGCCTGAATTAAAGTACTTGGAATACAGCATCCTGCACACATACAAATAGAAAACTGCCAAGAATAAAAATTGCAACCACTGGGAAACTGAAAGGACATATTCATGTGTAGGACTGAATCCTGCTATTTCATAATTTGGTAATATTTACTTACATTTCCTTATGTCATCTCATAAAAAACACAATGCACAGTTAAATGCTTACTGAACTTCTAGTACTAGGTCTTGTAAATTTGTTTCAGTTGGTTAACGCCACATCCAGTTCTAATTAATGGCCACTGAGTATGCATATTCTTACATCGTATGTATTTAAGTAAAATATTCTCTCTGGGAACCCATTTTGGGTTTACCTGAGACACGTTACAGATAAAGCTTGTGAGTGGCAAAGACCCCCAAATAAAAAGAGGAGATATTCAAATAGAATCATCCAATGTATTTGAAAGACATTTGAAGAACTACAAACTGCTATGACTTCAATATTCTTTACAGTTTACATGCCTAAGAAATATGCGAGGAGCCCCTCACCTCTGGTTCTCTAGGTGCTCCTGCTGTAATGTCATCTGCTTTCGTAGATCCTCCATCATCTTATCTTTCTCTGCCTGTAACTGTTCCCGGATTGAGCGATGATAATTCACCAGCTCTTCCCTTGCCTGCTTCAGACGAATGGCCTCCTCTGCAAACAGATATCCATTAATGAGTACATTCAAAGGCCTTGAACGTGTTACCTTTCAAAACTGAAACTGGTTTGATGGCAACAAGTTGCCCTTAGGATGTGGTGCATCATTTTGAGGGAGAACCTTCAGCTTCAGTCAGTTACAATATCTGTCAATCCTTGTTATTCACGGTTTATTATCATACGCTGTCATGCACATTTCCTCAATTTCAACCTATGCAGAAAGATCCCAATTAGAATTGGTCTTGAGCAACCCATGTTTGTCATACAGAGGCGACTACCATGTACAGGTGGTAGCCAATTGCATATTTTGTTTATTCAAAATATCAAAAACAAGTGTAGAAGTGAGCACAGCTCACATACCCCCACTTCCCACTTTGGGACATGGAAATGACTGATATTGATATATATATAGTGACAAGGATCAGCAGCTCAAAAGACTTTCTCCTTGACTCTACTAAACTTTATATACATGTTAGATAATAGTTTTGCCATGTACTGATTACAGTAATGATTTATGGAAACATTATTTTTGTTGTGTTTTCCGTGGAAACCTGACATACAATTGAACTTGTTGCACACAATAAAGTGGACGTAGATGAAGATTGTTATTTTTTAGCACATGGCATATCTGTGGGTCATGATTAACGTGTGTATTAAGTTTGGTGAACCCATCATGTATAGTTTCGATGATATGCTGTGGCCAGGTAACCATCAAACACATTTTGCACTAAGTCGTGTTTCCATGGAAACAGCAATAAAACAAAATTCTGAAAAAAAATTAAAATAGCAAAAGGCACATCAATGGGTAATGATTAACATGTGTGTGAAGTTTGGTGAACCTAGCATGTAAACTTTAAGAGATATGCTCCGGACAAAACCATCAAACACATTTGGCACTAAGTTGTGTTTCCATGGAAACAGCAATAAAACAAAATTCTGAAAAAAAATTAAAATAGCAAAAGGCACATCAATGGGTAATGATTAACATGTGTGTGAAGTTTGGTGAACCTAGCATGTAAACTTTAAGAGATATGCTCCGGACAAAACCATCAAACACATTTGGCACTAAGTCGTGTTTCCATGGAAACAGCAATAAAACAAAAATTCTGAAAAAATGATTAAAAAGTAGCAAAAGGCAAATCAATGGGTAATGATTAACATGTGTGATTAACATGTGTGTGAAGTTTGGTGAACCTAGCATGTAAACTTTAAGAGTTATGCTCAAAATTCTGAAAAAAATTAAAATAGCAAAAGACAAAGTTTCGGATGGACAGACGGACGGAATGAAAACGCAATATATACCCCATGTGTTACGAAGTTTGGTGAACCTAGCTAAACTTTAAGAGTTATGCTCCAGACAAAGTTCGTGTTTCATAGAAACAGATGGACAGAATGATTAACGACGGAATGAGTTATGCGCTATATACCCTGAATGAGCAGCGGGTATAATTATGGTTATTTTGTTCCCCATGTTATTAAACAATGTAAGGTTTGGTTCTTGTTTTCAATTTGCTGCATTATGATTGTATCTCATATACCGAACTGAAACAACCGAACCAAAGGCCTTGTACCACACTATGTACTGTACCTTAGTAAGAGTGTACCCCTAACAACCATCATAAAGACAGAAAATAGCAGCGAAGTGTTAAAAAATCAAATTCTCAGTTTCAATCTTAATAACTGCAAATAACCAACAAGTCCAGGTACTGTATTACCAAGTTCAAGCAATATTACCTTCTATTTTCTGTCTCTCTTCAGCAAGTTTTCTGTCCTGGTCTTCCTTTGCCTTCTGTTTGGTCAGCCAGCGTGCGCCTCGCAGCTCCTCAAAGGAAAACTCCTCCAGGCCACGGTAAATCTTGCCCTTGTTGTACATTGGCCTCATCTCCAGGCCCCCTGTCAGAGCTGGCTGCTGCATGGGTGCTAGAGGGTTGACATGCTTCTCAGGCTTCCGAGCACTACCCAAACACAGTATCAGTAGATACAGTACACACAATACACATACAAGAGAAGTTACACTGCACAACTTTAAGCGGAAATATGTTCCATAAGAGCAGAATCCAATGTCTTTGGTTAATACCATAAGCATGAATCAGCCATACCAAGTGTTACACAATTATTATATAGGTATGTGATTATCAATGTTTGAACAGTTCAATCAGCACATCTTTGATCAGACACAATACCTACCTCAACACCTGTGGGTCAAGGACTGATCCTTTCTGGGGTGTCCTGAAAAATAACGCAGGAGTACATTTAAGAATTGACTTGGATATATTTTACATTTATGTAGGTCTAACTTACTGTAGGTCAGTTCTTATAAATACAGCTTGTTATCAAGTTAAGTAAGATACAAAAATACATTGTCAGTTATAACATGGATATTTCATGGCATGAAAATAAACACCACCATGACATTTTTGCGAATGTATGTTTATCGGTACTGGTAATGATCTCATTTTGCACTTAAAGTTTCAGCTGGATGTTTCTGACAATGGAACTGCATTCATATGTATCACTGCAGACTTTGATCATACCCTAGATTAGGTTCCAAACACTAAACTTACACCATAGGTTGGTCCACACAATCGTCTACATGGACTGTGAAACTGGGTGTGGCATTGGCTGCTAGCAAGGCTGCATTCTTCATGGGAACCTGTTTCACGAAATGTATAAACATTCACTGAACCTGTCTGGGCATGCTGAGTCACACAAATACTGTCAAGTTTGTATAATGTAAGTGTGCATTAGATGAGACAGATATAACATTCATAAACACAGTTCATACAAAACTCCAGACACCAAGTTGTAGGATCTCATAACATCTGTATCAAGGCCTTCCTGAAGCAATGATTGTTCTTAAAAAATAGTCACGTCTAAACAGATTTTACCTCGACAAATTAACTGAATGTCATTGATGGAATGGCTCTCCTGTACATCCAAATAAATTTCTCTAAGTCCATATCTCCATAAAAGAATACAACATGCATTAGTGACATACAATGTTGTTTACAATTCAGGACCATCATGCAAGGTAATTCACATCTGCCTTTCTTTCATATCTTATTTTGTCTAGATACATATTTTGTGACTAGTGTAATATCCCTAATAAATCTTAAGTATACATCTTGGTGTATAATGGTTCAGGTTACTGTTCCAACACTTAGATATATCTTATAGTGGCCAGAATATTACACAGGAAAGTACAGCCAGAGTTAATTCCCAGCACCATTGCGAAGCCAAGAAATAGAGAATACTAAACGATGTCCCGTGTAATACCATTTTTATGAAACGATGATACTATTAGTTTAGTATTTTATTTATTACTCACCCTACATTAGCAAAATAATATCGAGCAAAGTACATTTTGCCTAAGAATTCAACGAGTGTGATGACTCTCAGCTTTCCACTACAGGTCTAATACTACTGTGACAGAGGTATTAGCATTGTGACGTCATAACTGTAAACTACTTTGGCATCATACGTACGAGATCACGAGATGTTATTACACAATGTGTAATAACATTGTAAAATTATTAAACAGTGACATCTTCAACAGGTGAGTAATAAAGTAAAGTATATATCCAGTTGTAACATATTTTGTCAACCTCATTAAAATTTAATTGCACTATTCAGCACTACAGGTGTACTATGACACACAATTCAGTCAGGTACACAAAACACAACTAAATTATCCTCGTCTTAGACAGGTCTACTACAAGCATCAAGTAGAAGCAACCTAATTGCCTTATAATTCCCACAAAGGTCCATAAGATGAGGACACCTACCCTAGCTTTTGTCCAGACACCGGGCTGCTGTTCATTCTCTCTGTTGGTGGCTCTTGTGGGGACAGTCTCCCACTCTCCGGTCTGCTTGGGGGTACAGGCTATCTCTGCATTCTCATCGGTGTAGATCTGGAAACCTATCCCATTTGTCTGTTTTTGCTTGTCACACTTCACAACACCTCCTTGTGAAGCTGAAAATATTTCATACAGTGTTCACTTCTACAAAGATGAGGCAAGACAAATGATGTATAACACTGCATTAATATAGCAATGTGCATGAAGATCTAGTTGTAAATGTTTTGAGGGGGGTTTTATAGAGTTAGTCACACCATGGTGCAGTTCTCAATGAATGACCCCTCAGACTCTGCCTCTTGGAAAGACAAGCTGCAAAAAAGTGTTTGCAGGCTCTAAATGCTCCCGATTGTTCTTTTTATGGGACAAACAGACCATGTGCTCTGATGTTTTCGATGTTACCTATTCCACAGCCTAATATCTATCCAGTCTATGTGCTGGTATTCCTTACCACAACCACCAGTACCCACTTCCATCTCATTTACACCAGCACTTGTTTTATCCCATTACTGATGACAGCCAGGCTGGGTAACAATAATGTAATTTTTGGAGTAAAATTGATATTTTATACTTATCCTGACTCATGCTCTTTTTGCTTGTCTTCTTCTTCTTGCGAACATAGTGGAACACTTGTATCTCCCTAATTGAAGCTCCCTTCAATTTAAAATCACTAATTAGTATTCACCACGAGTTACCTCCTTTCCACAAGCGCGGGAACGAGGGCGCCACCTCTACCCATGTGCCTCACTCTCTCCTCATATACTGAGCCCAACATTTGAATTTACAGGGAAATCCAAAGTGTTATTTGGGGAGGATGGGAGGGCTGACCCCATGAGTCAGGATAAGTATAAAATATCAATTTTACTCCAAAATTACATATTTTCCTTATCCTGACTCATCTCTTGCTTGTAGCATCCTAATGGAACGGAGGTGGGAATATCTAATACTTTGGATTTTTAATAATTAGTGATTTGAACTGTGATGATTGTAATAACCCTATGGGAACTTCATAAAGGCACTGAACTGATGAATTCCTGCTGCTAACTTATCAGCTGCCATATAAAGGTTATTACCATGTACTTATTATGATAAAGTATATATAACATTAATACAATGCTTAAGACTAATAGACTTAAGCTTGTTAATATCTAGTATAAACTCCTTAGAGTTTGTTAGCTAAAATACTTTAAGATATAACATAGTACTAAGCTTAAGATATGATTAAACTTAAGCTAATTATATAATAGCAAACTCTTTAGAGTTTGTTAGTTAATATACTATATGATATAGATATAATGCTGAGCTTAAGATATGAATAAGCTTTAGCTACATATATAAATAGCAAAACTCTGTAGAGTTTGTTAGCTAATATATTTTTATAATATGAGTATAGTACTGTGCTTAAGCTATAATTAACTTAAGCTACATATATAATAGCCAAACTCTGTAGAGTTTGTTAGCTAATATATTTTTATAATATGAGTATAGTACTGTGCTTAAGCTATAATTAACTTAAGCTACATATATAATAGCCAAACTCTGTAGAGTTTGTTAGCTAATATATATATTTATATATTATTAGTATAGTACTGAGCTTAAGATATAATTAACTTAAGCTACATATATATAAGCAAAACTCTGTAGGGTTTTGTTAGCTAATATATTTTACAATATGAGTATAGTAGTGTGCTTAAGATATAATTAACTTAAGCTACATATATAATAGCAAAACTCCGTAGAGTTTGTTAGCTAATATATTTTACAATATGAGTATAGTAGTGTGCTTAAGATATAATGAACTTAAGCTACATATATAATAGCAGAACTCCATTAGAGTTTGTTAGCTAATATATTTTACAATATGAGTATAGTATTGTGCTTAAGATATTATTAACTTAAGCTACATATATAATAGCCAAAAACTCTGTAGAGTTTATTAGCTAATATGTTTATAGTGTAACCATAGTACTAAGCTTAAGATAAGATTAGACTTAAGCTAAATGTATATAGCAAAATAAACTCCTTAGAGTTTATTAACTAATATACTTTTATGTTAAAAACATAGTACTGAGCTTAAGTTATGATGAAACTTAAGCTATATATATATAATAACAAAACTCCGTCGGGTTTTGTTAGCTAATCTGCTTTATAATGTAAACATACTGCTTAAGATATGATGAAAACTTAAGCTAATTGTATAATAAGCGAAAACAACCCTTTAGAGTTTGTTAGCTATGATATAAACCTAGTATTGAGCTTATGAAGGAAAACTTAAGCTACATATATAATAGCAAGAACTCCGTAGAGTTTGTTAGCTAATACATGTTATAATGTAACCATAAAGCTTAAAATATGATGAAACTTAAAGCGAAATATATAATAGCAAAACCCTCTTTTAGAGTTTGATAGCTAATATACCTATATGATATAAACATAGTACTAAGCTTAAGATATGAATAAGCTTAAGTTACATATATAATAGCTAAAACTCTGTAGAGTTTGTTAGCTAATACATGTTATAATATAACCATATTGCTTAGAAATATGATGATACTTAAGCCAAATAGCAAAAACTCTTTAGAGTTTGTTAGCTAATCTACTTATATGATATAAACATAGTACTAAGCTTAAGATATGAATAAGCTTAAGCTACCTATATAATAGCAAAACTCCTTAGAGTTTGTTAGTAATATATTTTAATAATATGAGTATAGTACTATGCTTAAGGTATAATTAGCTTAAGTTACCTATATAATAGTAAAACTCCATAGAGTTTGTTAGCTTAATTAACTTAAGCTATGTATAAAATAACCAAAAACTCTGTAGAGTTTGTTAGCTAATGCATTTATCATGTAACCATAGTATTACTCTTAAGATATGAATAACTTAAGGTAAATATATATAATAACAAACTCTGTAGAGTTGTTAACTTATATATTGTATGATGTAATAATCATAGTACTGTGATGATAAAAGGAACTTAAGTAAATTATATATAGCATGAAGCTATTTAGTATTGTTATAAGATAAGTAAAATCTGTTAGATTGACTTATCTTCTCGAGAAACTGTCAGCTGTTGTCTGAGGACCATGGGATCGAATTGGTGTATACCTGAGGCGTCCTCGGTGGTGATATCTCTCAGATAATGGTTTGCAACCACCATATCCAGTTTCAGAAATAAACCCTCCATTATTTCAATCACATTTGTGTAGAACAATTGTAGAAGTTAAGCTATAATATCATGAGTATTAAGCTCATGGAGGGTCCGGAATAGGTCCATCCATATGCACGTGAGTATGACAGTTCTGATCCAAATGGAGATATAGTACATGAGACTTCACTCTAAGTAAGTTGATGATAGAAAATAATCTGTTGCATTTTTCCTCCTGTTTGGTTTAGTGGAGATAAATTTACAGTGCTCTTGCTGGCCATCTTGATAGAATCATCATTATCATGGGGTCCAAGTATGTCATCAGGCGTGTTCATAAACCTCACTTGTGAGGTGTTGGAACACTATATTCATATCCCCAGGTTGAAGTGAAAAATTTCCGTTTTATTCTCCAAACAGAAGTTTAGTAGGTTTACTAACCATCTAGTTGTGTTAATTAAGCTTGATGAAATTCAGCTGTAGTCTGAAGCGCTGTGGATTTAGATCCACTTGTATCTTTCGTCTAGGTAATTAAGCTCTTGAAGTCCTTGGCGATGTAGGTGCACAACCAGGTGTGTCTGTCCTCGTTGAACTTTATGTAAAATGCAGCCTGACTGCCGATCCCTCGTCTTAACTTGACAGGGAGGTCTCTAACTTGAAGAAAGGCAGTCTAATCATGAATGTTCAGGTTAACTGGACTGTAATGAGGCTTGCTTTCGTTCACTGATATATAGTTGTCACTTGTGGCGTAAGTCTTGAACTGTGAATAGAGATCGACCTCTGTGTAGGTCGTTGTCCCTCTCGGGTCCAATCAGAACAAGGCATTTTGATTCTGTATAATACCCGGCGCTGTGATGTCACCCGGTGTAGCGGGAAAAACCCACCTTGAATAAATTCTTGTAAATTCGTTGATATTAGCATAAGCGTCGGTCTTCACGTAGCTTCGAAGTTATCCGGTGACCCGCGTGTTTGAGGGTTAATGGTAACTTGTAGCGAAACCTCCGGTAGCGAAATATCTGGCTCTGTAATTTTATGCTGGGTAGGTTATTTTCCTGGTTGTCGTGAAAAGTAATTTCAGTTTGAATATAATTCCGACTTCCTTATATATAAGGGTATAAACAACTTGCAAGTTGTGAGCTTGTAGACTGTATACATGAATGTATCGTCATAATTGTAGAATTAGCGTTGAACTTGTTGTACATATTTCTTCTCAGAAACTTTGGCGATTAAAGAGTTATACTGCGCTGTAACAAGGCTGCTGTTCAATTTCGATATTGAATTGTCTGCAGATATCGCGTAATGGTCGCATGTAGATAATCGTATCGTCGTCGGGATTGTATATTAGCAATTTATCACGGAATAGTTGATTTCTGTGAAGATCTATGAAATGTCGTTGACTAATAATACAGCGGCGTTCTGTGTTGTAAATAGCCTGAGCAATTATCTTCGCGTGGGCTTATAGGCGGCATCTGGCATACAGTTGATAATCAACTTATGCGGCGTCTTGAAGCGGACTGGCAGTAGCTATATATGGCGAGTGGCTAGTATATGGAAACCTTGGAGGAGACTTCCTCGGTGAGCGCCCGGAGACTTAGCGAAGTTCTCGAAGTATCCCTTCTAGATCTTCTGGGTGAAGTAGACTTGGAGCCACTTAGCCTTAGCGACCATCGCGAAGGTGTGAGAATCAAAGCCGATTAGTATATATATATATATATAAATATATATATATGGCTTGCTTAAGTGAACAGCCTCTGTGTTTAACAGGATGTGGGATCGTGGCGCTTGCCTAAAATAGGGCATGGATCATCTTATCATATTCAGAAGTCGGTATTCACGAAGTCTGGTGATAAGTGTCTAATTGATCGTTCTAGATCTATTTAGGCCAGCGAACATACGTCTCGTCATGGATTCAACAGAACCAATATCACGATTGTAGTTCTTATACTTGATATCGATGATCAACTTGTCTATGGGTTGATCTTCGGAGACTTGTGAGAGCGTTGATAGTTTGTGAAGCTCTTGTATAGTCCCTCGATGTCCTTCTAGATGATGATGATCTGGATTCAGGTGTCCTTGGCGCATGCCTTGCGAAGCTTCCTCTGCGTCCGGTCGGAGAGCGGCGATATGACCTTCAGCGAAGGCTTCGTGATGTCTGATGGTCGAGTCCACATCTAGGGATGAAACGCGCCAGGTGATGATCTATCCTGCCTTAGCGAAGTCCTTGGCGAAGGCTGTACATCTAGGTTCTTTCGCCTTAGCGAAGGCTGTACATCTAGGTCCTTTCGCCTTCGAAGGCCTTAGCGAAGAGCTGTACATCTAGGTCCTTCGTCCAAGGTGGTCCGTGACTTCCTTTCGCCCGAAGGTGACATCGTCCTGGCTGCTTTCGTTGGCGGGGGTGCCTCTGGGGTGCTGTCTGTCGTTGGAGCCTTCAGCGAAGAGCTTCGGACCCTGCTACGCAGATATTGGTCCTCCATGATGTTCATAATTTGTCGCATCATGTCTTCTGGGATGGTCTGCGGCGAAGGTCGTCGGTGCTTATCTGCGGTGTTAATGGAGGGTCCACGGGAAAATCGTCCGACATCAGTGTAGAGGCATCAGGCTGCATGGTGATCTCTGCTGATGTCGTTGTAGCTGTCCCCGGTCGTTTCTTGTGGCGTCGTGGGGATGATGATCAGCTGATCATCGTAGAGGTCCAGGTCATCGGCTGGAACAATCTCGGTTGAGAAAGTCCTAGTAGACTTCGTTGATTTTCCCTCAGAGGTCGGCTGCCCTGGGTGTCGCGGCGTCTGCGTTGAGTGTTAGTAATGATGGGACCCTCAGGGCGATCGCCAGCATATCTCGTTGGTACATCAGGCTGCATGCTGATCTGTGCCGACATCGGTCAATCTTTGATGTACATCCGGTATGATGACCGGCTGATCATCATACAGGCCCAAAACGATGGGAGCGGTCACCGGTTGTTGAGATGTAGTAGAAAAACCCTCTAGTCTTCTGCTGCGGCGATGGGATGTCTGGGGAAGCAGGATGCTTCTTGGAGATGGCGGACTCGTCCCACACCTCTCCACCACTCTAGCGGAACACCACCACGGGAGGAGAGTGACCAACAGCAGTAGACTGGCGAGGGTTCCGTGTATCAGTCATACTAGACTCTGCATCGCAGCGACCTATCTGCTGTCGCGTGCCAGCGCCAAAGTAAATATTAATAAAAAGGTAGAATTGGATAAATTAGTACGCAACTGCAATGTGAATATAATAAACATGAAGCCGTACATCATATTAAAGGCGGATCAGCAGCAGCATAAAAGCGTAATCTGCAATAGTACAGAATTTTCATCAACGTAATCCACTGAAACAAACACGGTCCGTGAAAAACTGTAGAAAAACAACTAAATAACAATATATAATGGTTGAAGGATACTAGCTAAACCTCTATAGATGTCTATCTGAGGTAACTAACTAAATATAATTCAAAGGATATAGTGTGTCGGGAGACACAGACGCTCTCACGTCCAGCTCACTGGGCGAAGAAGGAGAGAGTGAGGCACATGGGTAGAGGTGGCGCCCTCGTTCCCGCGCTTGTGGAAAGGAGGTAACTCGTGGTGAATACTAATTAGTGATTTTAAATTGAAGGGAGCTTCAATTAGGGAGATACAAGTGTTCCACTATGTTCGCAAGAAGAAGAAGACAAGCAAAAAGAGCATGAGTCAGGATAAGGAAAAATATAACATCTTTCAACATATTTTGGTATTATGTGGTCAGGATCTAACCATCAACCTTACACTCTCTCTGAAAGAAGGAATAAACAGTTTATTCTTTCAATTTATCTAGCTCATGCTGAGACAAGATTTTACCCATGAATCTTTGAGAGAGTGAGTGAGTTTGGTTTTACGCCGCTTTTAGCAATATTGCAGCAACATCACGGCGAGGGACACCAGAAATGGGCTTCACACATTGTACCCATGTGGGGAATCGAACCCGGGTCTTCGGCATGACTAGCTTTGAGAGAGACATTTGACATTACAACATAACGCATAATGGTAATCCCATACTAACATTTCTTGGCAGCTCCTGTCCTGGCTGTGCCAACTTGGTGGTGTCTTCCTGAAGCTTTCAGCTGGCCTAGAGTTGTGCGCTGTTCCTCTTCCATAAGGATGCCATCTGTGTCCATCACCTCTGATCTCATCAGGCCACGGGCAACACGAGCCTGAAACTCTCTGTACAAAAGACGAAGAAAATAATTAGTTCCCAATATCATATGTCTGTAAAGAAATTTGATGAAATCAGCCTACCCCCAAATATACGACTGAACCAATTAAGCAAATATCAATGTGATGATTGGTGAAAAGCACTAAAAATTGCAGTGGCATCTACCAGGATGTATATTCACTGTGACAAAAGCAAAACATTATGTATATTATATCGGCCTCTGAGCAGGCCTAGATAAATCCCTGAGTTATTTCAGCTTTAGAGTTACAGTACAACCAGAAATTATTGAGAATTTAAAGATTGTAATTTTTTTTTTTTATTCTCACTCATTACTCACGTATTAAATGTGAATATTAGCAGAACATAACTCCAGATTCAAAGACAGTTGAACAGTTAGTATTTTGTCAAGTCACCATGGGCAGCAATGCAGGCTTCAATGTGGCGGAGCATACTACTGATCAAAGAAGATAGAAAGTCGTGGTCCATGCTGTCCCAATATCAGACCACCTCTTCTTTCATTTCAGCAATATTTGTCAGATTTTTCTTATTGACACTTTCCTTCATAAGTCCCCAAACATTTTCTATTGGATTTAGGTCAGGGCTATGGCTTGGCCAATCAAATAATGTCATATTTTGAGTCCGAAACCAGGCCTGTGAATGCTTTGAACAATGTTTTGGGTCGTTGTCCTGCTGGAAAATCCAAAAAGTTCCGTAAACACGCAAGCAGATGGAAGTAAATGTCCCTCGAGAATATCTGTGTACCGCTCACTGTTCATATTCCCTTCAAATACACAGAGGGGCGTTGCCCCTAACACAGATATGCCACCCCACACGGGACTGTACTTTGGGCGCTGATACAAAGGTTTTTCAGTTTGTTTCGTCCAGAATTTCAGGGTATTAGGAAACAGCCACACAGAACTTTCATCTGAGAAAATCACATTGTCCCAGTTGAAATTTCTATGCTGTAAGCACCAGTTCAACCTTCGCTCCTTTCGTTCAGGTTTCATGATTGGTGATGGAATTCTTCGACTTTTCTGCCAACCCATTGCATGCAGCTCAGTTCTAATTGTCTCCTTACAGACAGCCAGTTCCTCTATCAATCATATCCAGCCTTAAGTTTTCTTAACTCCTTCGTTTGTTTTTAGAAACAAGAATACCAAGCCGCCTCCTGTCACGACAGTCAATTTTCTGGGCCTACCTGTGCCTCCCTGGTGCTCAATGCCATATCCATTTGCAATATTTTTCAAAACACAATAAGCAGTGGACAAAGGGATGCCTGTTATACTTGAAATCACTTTAGCTGATCTGATGTATTGTTATAATACTTTAAAATGAACTTCCTCTTCTTTAAATCATCCATACTGAGGATCACTGAAAATGTCGTCTGCTAGCAAGTAAACAAAGGGGGATAACTCTTCACAAACTAATGAAAAAGGATTGACAGAGTTGTCTCTCGTGAATGAAATCAAGCACTTGATAGCTGGTCAAGGTTGTTTATACTAGAAATCCAATTAAACATATTCCTAAAATTCTCAATAATTTCTGGTCATACTATAAGATGAATTTGTGAAACTGGACCTTGATGAGCAAACAGTATGAATGTTGGGGATTTATAACCATTGTTGCAACATATTCAAAAAGGTTTCAATGGCAAGCATTATATGAAAACATTGCTCAAAAAGTGCTGTTTCCCAAAATAGTACAAAACTTTGTTCATTATCAAACAACTTACTGGTGTTTTCTAAGCAAGAATTCAGCAGGTTGAGCATTTCTTCGCAGCCCTTCTTGATAGATGGCATCTGCCTTCTTAGTATTCCCTGCATCCTCTAACACTGTTGCCCAGGCGTCATACAGGAAAGACACCTCACAACCAATTTTCTGGTCAAACATGAAGGCAAACATCTCTGCTGGATCCATGCAGAAGTTTGCCTGGAATTCAGAGTTCAGGTATTAGTCAATGCAAGTGTTGAGTGAATGAGTCTTTGCAATGGTCAGCAATTACAAGATATGTTATCATCAAAGCATCAGCGACTAACAAGCCTAAGCTGCATCAATTCATGAAGGAAGGAAACAACCAATCTGTGCATTAAGGTCCAGACTGGTCTCTAACCATCTTGAAAACCACAACAACTTTCCAAAAATCATGCATGATTACAAGGTAACCATGGTAAAATGATGTAAACTCAACCACTGCTCTAACACCTTTATGTAATGAACAATGCCTGTTTCTGTAAATCATGAACTAATCAACAGTGTTCACGAATGGTGTTTCAAAGTAACAGGACATTGGGTCCTGTAAGTTTCAGATGTCTGTCTGACCCATTGAAAATGCACAGGACCCATGGAATAAAATTAAACACACATTTCAGATTTAATATTTCTTACAATTAGCATCAAAATTATTAACATACATTAGATTTATAAACAGCAAACAAGTGTCACATGTCACATATAAAAACTTCAGTCAAAGTCATTGAGAAATATAGTCAGACAGTGGGGCTGGCGGGTTGTAGACTTCTGTCTGACCGTTGGCGAATCTGCCAGATTTGTCAGAGGGTCAGACGCTATTCGTGATCACTGATCAAACTAATTGTTATTAAATGAATCCTAAAATATCTTAATATATACTCATGGAAATGAATAAGGGAACACATGAAAGTACAAGTGTTCCTGTATTCTTTTCCAGAATTTCACCCACAGTGCAATACAAAGTTTTTTAAGAAACCTGGTAAAGACTGACTGACTGAGTTTGGTTTAACGCTGCTTTTAGCAATATTCCAGCAACATCACGGCGGGGGACACCAGAAATGGGCTTCTCACATTGTACCCAAGTGGGGAATTGAACCCGGGTCTTCGGCGTGACGAGCCAACGCTTTGACCACTAGGCTACCCCACCTGGTAAAGAATAAAGGAACACTGAGTATATATACCTAAAATTCACAAAGAAGAAGTATTCTAACATTCCACAGGCTGCACAGGAAGATAAGGAATTACTTTCTATTTGAGCTGTTTCTTTTCTAATAAACATGATAAAACAAGGAACAGATGACTGCCCAAAACTTACAAATTTAATCCAAGCATCAACATATCTGTGATCATTCTTGTATTTCTCTTCATCTTTAAAAATTGTAACACATCGCTCCAGCAGAGCTCTTAGTTTGCCCGCTTTGCCACCCTTTGGATACGCTTCATCCGTCCAGCGAATGTATCTGGTTGAAAAACATAAGCATAAGATAACAAACCTACAAACATGGCCAGTATGCAACAAATACAATCTGAAATGATAAATTGAAAATGTCAACTGTTTCATCATGTTCATGTTCTTTGAAGCTTTGTTCATAAACCACAGGTTCAAGGTGATGCAGAACAAATATATTTTAAAGTACATAATTTACTGTTAACAAACATTTCTCAACATTCAATGGACTGTATGAATTCCCTTTCAAGAATAACCTCAGTTCTGGGAATCATGATTTTCTAGACATGTAAGATATGTATGTTCTCAAAGAACACTATAAAAATTGAATTCTGTATCTTACCTGTCCCAGGTGTCAAGTGGATCGGAACCTGTATATGTCCGTAACTCACTTTCAAATACTCTGTAAGTAAGAAAGATATATTGCAATTCACTATATTCAGTCTTCAGCATGCGGAAAGACTTCTGCCTGTATCCCCCCTTAAATTTTATTCTAGATAGTCAAATCATATCACATGAATAATATTCGTCATCTGATAAGGATGAGTTTTAACATGTTTCATTAATTATATCTACATACTGATAGATATATCCAGCATCTAGAAATGTCACTCAAGAAATTTCTCCTCGTCGTTAAAATTTAGGGGGATACGGGCGGAAGTCTTACCAAAACTTGAACATGTGCAATTCTAAAAACAACAATGAAAACTAATCTTAATATCCAGTATACCATGAATACTTTGACACAGATTGAAATATTCCACATCTAATTATGAATATGACCGTACATACTTAAATGTAGACCCAAACAGAAGTATATATCAGTTTCAAACATCTTTATAACAATCAGCATGATCATGATGATCAGGTTAAGTCTCCACAGGTAAACAATAACGATAATTTAATAGATGCTAATAATAATAATAATAAATGCATATTTATAATGCGCCCCTTCCACACCCTAAGGCATGCTCAAAGCGCTACAGAATATTTACACTGGAGTATTTACAGATGAAGTTATACATAATATACTGAGAAAAGGTGGGTTTTAAGTCTGGACTTAAAAATGTCAATTGTGTCAGAGCTTTTACTTTTAAGGGCACATGGGAGAGAGTTCCAAAGCACAGGCATGGAGTAAGAGAATGATCGGTGTCCGAAGGATTTCAGTTTGTAGGATGGGATGACCAGTCAATTTTGTGTGTTTGAGCGCAAGATGCGTGCGGGGACATACGGATGTAGGAGTTCAGACAAGTAGGAGGGAGCCAAACCATGGAGGCACTTGTATGTCAGACAGAGGATCTTAAAGTCAATTCTGGCCCTAACTGGTAGCCAATGCAGTTCTTTCAACACTGGTGTTATATGGGAAAGTTTAGAAGTCTTGCTGATAATGCGGGCGGAAGTATTTTGGATCTTCTGAAGCTTATCAAGGAGTTTAGAACTGAGGCCTGAAAGGATGCTGTTACAGTAGTCAAGCCTAGATGTAACAAGAGCTCGAACAAGGGCTTGAGTTGCAGCAGTTGTCAGGTATTGCCGAATGTTACCAATGGATCTTAGGTGAAAGTAGCAGGTCCTGCTCAGACGGTTAACATGAGCATCCAGAGTCAAGGAAGAGTCGATGTGGACACCCAAATCCTTAACCACATCAGAGAATCTGACGTCAATAATAATTTTCTTGGACTATCTTTTTCCAGTCCTGGCAGCCAACACTTGATATACATTGATTAAAGACGGGCATGGGTGAAAAAGACCTTTGTTGTCATTCCAACAGCTTGGAAACCGTACCAACAATATTTTAAAACAAATGCATACAGTTGAAACTTACTGTTTTTGTTGTTTGATGACAACCATTTGATCATCCTGAGGCTGAAGCGCTACTGACAGCGAGGAGACATTGCGCCCTTGTTTCCGAGGTCTTACGTTTTCTTTGCTCAGTTCCCATTCATCAGAATATTCTTCCGTATGATTCATTGTTAAATGACTGAGAAAACAAGGCTACAAATACCAAATATCTTCTTTACAGGCCTTATTTTCGTTATTCCATTACCCCCAATTTAGTTTTGAAATGTCCGCTCCGCGCATGCGTAGATAGTCTTGAGGGAAGTCAAGCTAAACTGGTTCCACCGTTGATAGGCCAGTGCGCCAGTCCTGCTCGTACGCGCCGTTGCGGTTTTTGCGGACACAAACATTGACTGGGTTCTCGTCTATGTAAACGTATGGTATATATTTTAAAGTCTTGGTAAGTCTATCAATGGACATACCTTTTTATTTTGTTTTATAGGACAACTTGATCGTATATGAATATGATCTAGAAGTTATTACTCAAACTAATAATTATTTTCTTATTGACTTTTACCAGTCTAAGCAAAGACCCCTAGGTTGGAGAATGAGCACTGTACCAACCGATTATGTGAGGTTATTTCATGCCGATACCTCGAATGCATAATCGCTAACTTGGAAATTTTCTTCACATAGTGCTGATCTTCAATCTTCTTAGCATTAAAACGAAACAGAACAAATATCTCGATAATGCCACGTCACACCACAACTTATAATGGCACCAGTTTCATAAATTACCAGTTAATAAATTTGGTATGGTGGTTGATTCGGGCCATCACTGAAAATTCCAGGCGACATCCAGCGATGGCCCGAATCAGCCACCATAGTTTGGTGATGCAATGTCTTTACATTGTTATAAATTCAACCTCCTTTTTGGAAAGATTTGGGTTGCACTGTGGGAAGGGGGTACACGAAAAATGTTTCAATCCCTGTATTTAACTGTCAACACATATGAATCTTAATGGCATATCTCTTTGAATCAATGTACATTAAATATATACCAAAGTTTAAGGCTGTAGGTCATACATTGCATAAACAAGTAAATATGTACCAACAGCCTGCAGAGCAAATGTAGCATGTGCATGGAGAAGTGACCGCGTATGTTGTGACCTTAAAGCTAGAAAGGTAGAATGTAGTTTTTGTTGTTGAGTTAACTGCTTTGGAGGTCGCCTTCACCTGTTGGTATTTCGGCAGACTGTAGAATGTAGAATAATAATGAATATTTATGTATGGGTGGAGATTATATGACCACGTCGGGTCTAGGACAATTGCCACCCGGACAATTCCCACCTAGGACAATTCCCACCCAGGACAATTCCCACCCCAAAATAAAAATAACATGAAGAACATAGTTTAGTTTCAACAGTTATTCATTTTGACATAAATACCATATAAATATAAAAATTCATCAAAGTCAAATTTCTTTAATGTCACAATTTCAATATTTTATCAATTTCAATATTACACCAAAGTCAATATTTCCATATTTCAAAGCCTGGGTGGGAATTCTCCTCATCATTATTGTGAAAATAACTGGGTGGGAATTGTCCTGCTCCCGACCACGTCACACGCGTTTCAATCTCCGCCCACTCATGAATAATCATGACTATTCTACACTTAAGACCATTCTAGCTTTAAGTCACAACACACGTACATTCTTCTTATCTGGTATTCTGTATATGTAAACACTATCAAGGCACGTAGACAATTATAATTAATAATGGAGTTTTTATGTAGATACCATATTTCTATTGATCTTTGCGTGAATGATATGTATGGCATCAAATGTCGTAAAAGATATGTGCTGGATGAAAAAGCGTAAAAGATATGTGTGACGTGTAAAAACGTAAAAGATACGCGCGTCATGAAATAGCTCAAAAGATGTGTGTCATGAAACAGCGTAAAAGATTATTATAATATTACTAAAATGTGTGCAGCTGAAATGTCAAATAGAGTCGATATGCTTTACCAATTCTGGTCTTCTTATCATTCTGAGTTCATGTTAATGTACCGCCTCCGTGGTGTAGTGGTTAGAGCGTCCGCCCGGAGAGCGGAAGATCGCAGGTTCGATCCCCGACCGCATCATACCAAAAGACATTAAAATATGGTACTTGTTGGTCCCTGCCTGGCGCTCGGCATTAATGGGTACAACAAGGACTGGTCGACTCGGAGTCAGTATAATGTGTCTGAGTGGGTATTCATGCTTCACTGCGGCATGGTATCTCAGTGGGCTAGCACTATAAAACCAGCTTCAGTCTGGGCTAGTACAAGGGCACATATTCATGCTTCACTGCGGCATGGTATCTCAGTGGGCTAGCACTATAAACACCAGCACGTTCAGTCTGGACGCAAAGAATCACAACCTTTAAATATGCAGGTGCACATACACATACACACGCATGCACGTCGTCATATGAGCGAAATATTCTCAAGCACGACGTTAAACCCAATTTCACCTCACCTCCCTCACCGGCTTTTACAAGCCCGCACTCATACACATACACGCATGCACGTCGTCATCACCTTCTTAAGCCTCACCTCACCTCACCTCACCTCACCTCACCTCACCTCATGTAAATGTATTGTGTGATTGATAACTGTATTTACTTTGAAATATAAGTTTTAATATGAAAACAATAAAACATAACTACGCCAGTAGTCACTTTAGACCAATAGCAAATAGGCAAAACCCCTTTCATAATGTACTCTTTAAAAAGTAGGGGAACCTGAACTTTCAATTTGTATAATAAGTATAAGCGTTAACAAACTTTTCAAGGACAGACACGCACCAACATGTCTCTTTATCGCCATCCCTAAACACAACGCATGGAATGCACGTGCACAACGCAGTAGCACCATACACGTGCATAGGGTGTGTTCTTGATGTTGACAGTTTTCAAGAGTGAGTGAGTTTAGTTTTACGCCGATTTTAGAAATATTCCAGCAATATCACATCGGGGGACACCAGAAATGTTCTTCGAACATTGTACCCATGTGGGGTTTTCAAGAAGGTCGATAAATAACTGTAGACCATTAATTTTGACAATCATCTTGCATCACACAGTTGTTAGTGTTTGTTTCTAGCCGATTTTTGTTGTTTGAAAATGAAAATCGTACACATGCAAATCTCACGTCATACACCAATCATCTTTCAAGAGCGATTACTGTACAAACAACTATGGTCATAAGGAAGTGCAAGTAGTAAAACACTCTCAAAACATTCATTATTATCATAACAACATTGATTGACTCAGATATATCTCCCAATTTTTCAATCGTGAATTCAAAATGAAGTTCCCCTACTTTTTTAAGAGTATATATCAAAATATAGATGAAGCTGGGAAGGCGCTGAAGGTTGCCTTGTATTATGTCCGATTATGTCTCACACGATTAGATCTAGAAAATGCCATTGAACCAATTCTAAAAGCGGCAAGTGTCCTTGGTAACGTTACCGTTGCCTTGGTTAGGATGATCCCAATGTCTCTTTCATCGCATTAATGATATAAAACGTAGAATTGATTTTTGGATTTCTTGGAATTTTGGTAGGAGAGAAATGCTCTTGACGATCTGTAAGATATGTATACACAAAGAACTTAGTTAAGCACCCCCTGACATATGTCACGATTGAATGAGCCCCGGTCTTAACCCTTTGGAGCATATCTGGGACATGATTGGTCGTCGTGTGCAACAAAGGGATCCTCCTGTACAGAACCTGGCCCAATTGGAAGCTGCTCTACAGGAGGAATGGCGTAGACTGGCCCTTCTGAGGATCAGGAGGCTGACAGGTGGTATGAGGAGAGTGCTGGCTGTCATACAGTCACATGGAGGTTACACTAGAGTCTTGGTATTGACCTTGAATCGTGTAAGACACGCAAAATGACATTTTGAATGTTCACATTCACCAATAAATTCAACATTCCAGGGCCATACTTGTACAGACATGGTTTTGTATGAAAATCAGTGGGGCTTTTTTAAATGAGCAATTATCATCATAAAAGCAACATGGATTCCAATCATTTTGTCGTTTTTAATGAGTCAAAGGGTCATACGGGTCACAAAAACTCATGTTTTTCCATCGTGGTCACCACGAGAAGTTTATACACAAGGTGAAGACTAGGTGAACAGGGACCGCGTGTAGAGGTGAATACGTTAAAACATGGTGAAGACTTGGTGAACAGGGTGTAGAGAGGCGCTCAAGGTGAACTGGGTGTAACAAGGACTGGTCGGTAGTCGGAGTCACAAGGTGATACTGGTGAACTGGGTGTAGAGAGACGTACACATGGTGAAGACTGCGGTGAACAGGGGGCTAGAGACGTACACAAACCAGCTTCAGGGTGTAGAGAGACGTACACACAAGGTGAAGACTAGGTGAACAGGGTGTCAGAGAGACGTACACAAGGTGATTCTCGTACACAAGCAGGGTGTAGAGAGACGTACACAAGGTGAAGACCCAGGTGAACAGGGGTGTTACACAAGGTGAAGACTAGGTCTGTTACACAAGGTGAAGACTAGGTGAACAGGGTGTAGTATATTTGCAAAAACACAGGGGATGGTTAGTTATGTTCTTTGTGTATATTATGATACTAGCACGTTCTATTCGGACTGCTGTGATATACACTAACTTAATTGATATATGAACATGAACGTAACATCTTGCCAGGGCTGAATCGGAAGCTGGTTTAAGATGATTGAAAACGGACTTACTTTGGTTTCTAAATACTCATACATATATACTCTGAACACAGATGTCCACGCAAAGATAAATGACCCGAGGGTGTTACACACAGTTATGAAAATTGAAAAGCCGCGTAAATAAGAGGCAAGTGAAAAGCGAAAACATGGCACTGATGACAGCTGCTGTAGGCAACAATTAATGCCATCGGCCAACTGCAGACAGGTGACTCGACTTCTGCAGTAGCGACATCACGTCCCACAGTCATAGAACAGTTGACACAAGCACGAGACTCCCATGGGGGCGATACTAGGATTCATTACCGAAACGTCGACCTTCTAAACCCTATGGGTCGACGTTTCGGTAAGACACGATACAAGAGATCGTGAATAGATGACCTTCACCCTGACATTCGATTGTTTCTTGTGTGCCTCGGTCAGTGTCAATGACTCCTGTTGAATATTTACATATTACATATTACATAATATTACATATTACATAAAGTAAACATCTGAAGAAACATTTTCGGTCGAGTTTAGTTCTTATAGTTCATCGTTACATATTACACCTGATGTTCCTAGTT